TTTTCTAATATAAAACCCCCACTTGCAAGTCTTGTTACAAGCAGCTTAACGAGGCAGGACTTTAAAACACCATTCTGTTTCTCTTTTTAACAAGACTCTTATCCCTGCTCTGTCTTTGCCTTCTGCTTGGCCTTTGGGGAGAGCAAGTCTGTATACTAACACGTAATTTGCAAATAATCCCAATGGCCACATTGATCATCATTATTTTGAAATCTCCTATACACATTGGCCAATAGGATTTTTACCAAAGATCTCAGCTGTTGTTTCTTATGTTCTTCTGCTGTGCAGTCCACTGGTCAGTCTAGCATGAGGTGGTAACTCATGCCTGAGGTGTGTTTTGTAACTTGTCCTACCTTTTGTGTCATTGGAGCACACATATCCCATCATATGCATAAACTGGATCCTTCGTGACTGCTTGTACTAAACATCTTCTTTTCTCATTTCTCTCAGTTACAAGACTTGCACGCTGTATTTATCATTGAAGAGGGTGGGAATTTAGCACAAAAACAAGTCTCCTTTCTTCCCTTCTTTCTCACTTCTTCTTATTATCATAATTATCAATTTATAACTGTTATTATGTTATTTGCTATTGCAACTTTCTCCTTCAGTCTTCCATCTGCTGCAAAGCCAGATCTCTGCCAACTCAACCATACTTGCACTGCAGTTGGTTCTACAGTTTGGCTCAACAAGAAGCAGTGGAGCCCTAAGCTCCTTTCAGGGAGCACAGTTGCTGAGTAGGAAAGAGTACATTTTTCATTCTGAGCTTTTAAGCAACAGCCAGGAACAAGCAAGTGCTAATGAAGAGGAAGTTAGAAACTGTCTTGTGACAGGTTACATAAAGTGAAGATTTAGGCAAAGGGAAACCAGAAAAAGCTTTCTGCAGCAGATTCCTCAAATAAGCAATGTGGATTTGTGACTGCCAACACTCCCTCCGCTGGAGGATGCACTGTGCTTCTAGCTTAAATCAACCCAAAGTGAGCAACTCCTCTTGGTACTGGCTCTCCTCATTCTCTTTGGGCAAGGCAAAGTCCCTCGCTAAGCCCAGCCACTCTCCTGCCTTTTTTGCTCAGGATGCATTAACTCTTGCCACACCGACACCTGGATTGAACCCTGTCTGAATCTTCCCAACGTGGTTGGTTGTGCTTAGACAAAGTCCAGGTCACTTGCTGCAGCCCTTTTGGTCTCCACTCCTACTGCTCAGCATGTCCCCAAACGGCAGCAGTGATGGAGAGGGCCACGTCCCACTGCCCTGGTACAGGTGACACTCTCACACAGGTCCACGCTCAGCTCCCTCACCACATCACTGCTGGTTACTCTCCCATGGGTTTGCCACTCGGTTAGGAAGTGACAGACCCTGTCCCACTCGCGGTGGATTTTGCTCACGATTACTCTTGTGCACCTTGTGTGCATTTTCTGGAGCCTTTTCCCCGCGGCTGCGGGGAGGGGTTTTTCCATATCCCCCTCACACAGGCACGACGCGGGCACGGGCGGTGTCTTGCTGTGGTGACCGAAGTCCCCCTCAAGAACAGGTCTTTTCTCTCCAGAGGCCGTTCTCGTCACCAGCACCTCTTCAGCCTCAGCTGTCCACTTTGAGCATACCTCTGCAAGACTATAAGATCTGAGTGAAACCTATAATTCTTTTAATTGATATTTCTTCATCCCAAGCGCCTCTCTCCCTCCCTCCCCGCCGTGTGCCCGCGGCCCTGGCGCGGAGCAGCAGCGCCGCCTGGTGCCCGCTGAGCCCGCGGCCCCCGCCCTCCCTCCGGGCCGCGGCTGAGGGATGGATACACGGCCCTGGCCGCCTTGTTGTTCCTGTCGGAAACAGGAGCCCCCGGGATCACCTCTCATCCAGCAGCCGTAGGGGTTGGAGTGTGTGAACCATCTCTGTTACTGCTTCATCGCCTGACTCGCCAGCCCGGGAGATAAACCCAGCGCTCATTTTTGGTAAAATTCCTCCTGCCTTATTTTCCCGTGGTGTATTCGTTCATTTCAGCCCTGAATCTTTTAAAAGTCTTGTACACATTTGTGTGAGAAAAATAAACCAACAGCCCGGAGATAAACAGAAGCACATTTGTTCTATCAAAAAGTCATTGAAACAAGTCATTTTGGTCTGAAATAAAAGTGTGGTGTGAGTATTAGAGACACTGCTTCTTGCCAGAGGTGAGAGGAGGACTAGGCAGCAGCATTAAAATTTAACACATAAATACTAAGTTCTTACATCTTTACTATGAGTACGTAGGAATATGTTCCATTTCACAAATGGAAATATTGGCATAAAATTGCTTCCTTTATGTCATACGGAGACTGAATGACAGAGCTGAGATTTCAGTTCAGGCATTACCTGAACTGCTGTGGTGTATGTGTGGCACTCACCTCAAGTTTATGAAATGAGGGTTTTTCCTATTAAGTAGACAGTTATTATGAAGAAATAGCAATAAAAAAATATTTTACTCAAATCTTATACTCTTGCAGAGATATGCTCAAATCCCAAAGTGGATAACTAAAGTTGTAGGGGTGCTGATGACAAAACTATCCCAATCTGTAGTCACAATAGCCTCTAAAGAGAAAAGATGTGCTTTTGCCACATGCTTCGAATCCGAATTACTTACATTTTGATAGACACATTCTTTGCACAGGCAAAGGAGGGGAGTGTGGCAATAAAAATACCTAATCTTTCTCTTTGAATATCTAGGGATGGGACTATAGCATCAGAAGGAGTAGGCAGAACAGCAGGGAAGATAGAACCACCAATATAATATCTTTTTTCCTCTGAGAGGTGGCTGGAATCTCTTCTGATGTTGAACAGCTAGGAGACATCCTCTGTGGATGTTTTCCTTAGGAATATCCAGCCAATCCCACTACCCTATAGTATGTTTTTACCCTCATTCCGTGCCCATCTCAGGTGGGGAGAATGTCTTACTACCTTCCTTTTTATCCGCTTCCTTGCAGAAGCCTTTTATCTATTAGAAGGCAGCATATCTCTCTCCACTTTCTCTTTTCTAGAAAAGCTCTATTTGTTCTGTCTTTCTTCATGAGTCCTTCAGTCTCTGCTCTGGAGTCACATCTTGAGAGTCTTCAGCCAAAGACATATTCCCTCCCCTTCCCTCTCCTCTTTGTATGCTTTTTTGTTCCATTGAGCTTCTTTCTCTGAAGCATCATAGCTCTCCATATCTGCCTCTTGTCCTATCTTTGTTTTCTCAGTTCTTGTTTCCTCTTACCTAGTTTAGACCCTGCTACTGTTCTTATCCTAAATCTTGGCAGGATGCTCCAGTTTGTTTCCCCTAAGTTGTCCTTAGTGAAAATTTTTCTTTCTGTTGCCACTTGTGAAGCCCCCTCCATGTTCTCTACTTCTACCTCTGACTTCAGGCAGAGAAGGTTCCTCAGTACTCCTAACTTCCACTCCCTAAAAACGGTATTTGCAAGTCTTACACTTTTCCAAGAGAGGATTTCTTACCTCCTGTTCCCACACAGTCCACAGATACTGTTTGGGCATGATGGGGACCCTGACCACTCCATCAGCACAGTGGAGGAAGTTGCTGAGGGAGCATCACAGTGGTTTGTGAAAGCCAAACAGCTCCTGGGCCTCCCTATATCTCCTCCTTCCTGCAGACCTGCCTTTGGCTCCTGTACAACAAAGTTGTATCAGGTTGTCTCCTCCAGGTTTCTAGACTCAGGACTGAGTGCAGGGCTGAATTTTTAGCACTGACCTGGCCAATCACAGCCCAGACCTGCAACTTCTGGGGTTGTCACCTGTGTGTAGACCCTTCTGCTAAATCCTAGGTTTGCACATGCCCATACAGGAGTGAATGGCAGTCAGTCTTTTCAGGTCTTGTAACGTGATAAAATTAGGACTGTGCAATTAATTTCCCCTTCGCATCTACCTTGTTTTCTTCTAGCAGAGTAAAGCCTTTTTTAAACACTACTCCAAAAAATTCCTGAGCATGCTGGCAAAAGCTGATGGAGTTGTTTAACATGGGCAATACAACATATTTTTTCCTTGACCTCACAGTTGGAAGCCGAGCCTTTTGGCTTTAATTAACATAAAATATGTCTGAGGCAGATATTTGTCATGGGAGAGCTTAGTTTTCAAAATACAAAGATCAACAAAGTTATGAGCCATGAAAAAAATAATCATACAAAGTAATGGAAAATGGGAAATTCTTGTAAAAAGCAATTCTGTTAGCCTTTTTCTGTCATATATATATAATCAAACACAGTTCCACACTGTGCAATTAAGGATGCTATCAAATACCTGTATTTATTATTGAACTACTGCTAAAAATACAATTTTATAACAAACAGGCTACTGTATACAAATAGTAAGATCTTTACTTCTGTAAACTAAAACAGGAATGGAGTGCAGTGTCTGGCATGTAGTACACTGTACCAGATCCCAGGGGTTATTAGTAAATATACATGTGCTATGAGCAAAACAGTCTTGACTCAAGGAGTTTGACTTAATTTGTTGCAAATTGACATAAACCTTAAATTACTGATTGGCGTATTGAAAAGCCAAGTAGACAAACACCTAAGAAGGCACAGGGAAATGCCTCTCTTACTCTTTCAACTTCAGTCCAACACCTCTCCTTCCACCTTCCTAATCAAGGTTGCCTGCAGCAAAGGAGGTTGGTCTTTGATGTGTAGTTTATCTCTTTTAAAAAAAGGCTTTACTCTGCTAAAAGAAAAAGGGTAGATGTGAGGGGAAAATTGTCAGCACAGGCCTAATTTTACCAATATTTTCTTCTGCTCCTTCCTTCTTGTTTCCTCAGCCCCAATGTGTGTCACCTGTGGGCTGCAGTCCCTCAGGAGTGTCCCTGTCCCAGAGTGGTTCACCCATAGGCTGCAGTCCCTTAGGGATGTCCCTGCTTGGAAAGCCCCCACAGCGTCCCTGTGTGCTTCTATGTATTGAGAAATGGGCCACTTTCAGACCTGTTTACTTCTTAGTTGCTAAGACTGAGATAACAAAATATTTCTTTGTATTTGGTTAAACATTCTTGAACCTTACTCTCCAGTTTTGCTTCTACAATTTCCTTTTCTCTGGTCTGTGGTTTGAAAAATACAAGGTAATCTTCCAAAAAGTCAAATGCCCTTTTCAACCTTGATTGCAAAATATGTAAAAAGCTGGAATAATGTTCAACAACCTTGAACATTTCACTGTCTGTGTTGGGGTTTTTTAAATTCAAAACACTTTTTTTTTCAGACAGATACTTTGTCCTATTTTTTCTACACTGTAAGTCTTCTCTGCTGAAAATAGGAACATGCCAAAGGACATCAATAACATAAAGGCCAGTTTCTATTTCTCCCAGATAACCAGCAGTATCATACATTGGAAACTTTCTTTTAAGATTTTGGTGCTGGAAATCTTGTTCATTGACTGCATTCTCTGCTTGCCTCAGATTCTTGGAAAGCCTGTGAAGCATTGTTAGCAAGCTCTAGCAAGTGTTCCAGTTTCCCAGCTGTCTGAGCTGCACTCTTTTCTTTGCACTCTACCCAGTCTTTTAGCTGACTTTTAAAGACTTGACCTTGTGTATCTGATATGTATGAATTGTGTGGTGCTCTTTTTTAAGCTGCTTTGGCCCAGTTTAATGCAGAGTCATATTTCTTTTCTTTAATGTAAAATCTTGCTAAGGCCTGGCAAATGTCACCATTTTGCTCAAATCTAAAGGATGCTTGTTCTAGCACATATTCCACATCACCACTCTTTTCTTCCTTATGAATGACTTCAGTTAAGGGGGAAAACAATGTGTTTGACTCATCACCATGTTCCTTGAGCTGCCTAGTAAACAGCAGGGTTTGTCTATCGTCACAAATAAGTTTGTCTTGCTTTAATGAAGTCTTATAAAACGAATCTTCTTTCAATAACTTTAACATAATTGCACTTTTAGTCAAGCCATAGGTTAGTTTCAATTCTGTTAGGCAGTGAGATGGTATCAATGGATGAATGACACGAAGACCTTTGTATCTTGTGTGTTCATGTACCTGATCAGATACTAGACTATTGGAACAAATTCCCATCTTTTCTATTAATTTATCTTTATTGAAGCCTACGTCTTGAGAATTTTTTCCTAAGAATTCTTCACAAACTGATACTGAAATTGTAGATTTTTTTTACAAATGAGTTTACAGTATCAGATAACAAACAAGTTGTGCTGGTTTAGAGGCAGTATCCAAGTTATGCAAGGTATTTTTTACCATTTTTTCTATATACTGTGGATCAAAGTTTTTCTTCATAATCACAAATGAATAGAAGTTTTTAGGATTTGAATGCACCTTTCAATATCTTCTAGTTTCTAATCAAAGGCCCTTTGCTCTTTTTCAGAAAGCACATGTTTTATAGAAACACTGTTCAAGGAATTGATTGACAAACTTTAATCAGGCTTCTGAGATCTCATACAGTTTAGAATGATCACTACAGGTTTTCCATACCGAAGACATTTTTCTATTATAGTTGTCTGAATTTTTTTCTTCAGAATATCGATATTTTCTTGCTCTTCAAAATCATCCACAAGAAGTAATACTGGTAAATAGCCTGTGTCATCATTTGTTCCAAAGGTGAGTAAAGTTGTCACCTGTGTTCCAAAATCACTTGGTTTGCTTTTCAGAACAGCACATCTGAATTGCTTCTGGAAATTCCAAAGGATATACATAGATAACTTTGTACCGCCACACCCTGGGTGGTGGTAGAGGTTGATAATTTTTAAAGGTGGTTGATTAACACCACCTTTGATGAAGACAGAATTAGGTCTTCAAGCTTTTCATAACCATCCCTTCTGATAAATTCTGAAGTCTAGTTTTCAGAATAAAAGTAGAAATCCCACCATGATACTTTACCACCTCGATAAAACTCTTCTTCCCACTCTCAGGAAATTTTAAAATTTATCTTCATTGCTCTGTATTCCTGTGCCATTGCATTCATTTCCACAAAGTATTTCTAGTGCTGCCTTGGAGTCTTTTTCTTTGGGAGAAGAACAGTAGAATAACCAACAGAGGGCAGAAGTCTTTCAGAAGACCACATATGTGATGGTAGTTTTATGGTGGTACCATTTTCCATTTCCAGCTTTACATTAGACACACATTTCTTTGAGAGTACTTCCTCACTGACACCTCTAGCGTGCAGAAGATCTTTCCATTGCTGGTATGTACTCACACCAACGCAAATTCAGACCATGTCTGAACAGTCCCTTTAATTCTTGTAAAATGTCATAAAAGTTCCAGTAAGGGGATCTGCTGAATCTTCCAATGTGGAAAGCAAAAGAAACACTATTAAAAGCTTTCCATTTTGCTTTACATCTTTGTGTGAAAGAAAGGAAATAATTTTTCTGATGTCAGCAGCTCTCTCTTGTTGCCATGAAGGGGAATCCAACTGCAGTTCCTTATTGCCTGAAGTCTGATTCACCATTACAGAATGGGTTAAGAACTGGCTGGATGGCCAGGCCTAGAGAGTGGTGGTGAATGATGCTGCATCCAGTTGGTGGCTGGTCACCAGTGGTGTCCCCCAGGGATCAGTGTTGGGCCCAGTTTAATATCTTTATTGTTGATCTGGAAGAGGGTATCGAGTGTACCATTAGCAAATTTGCAGATAACATCACATCGGGGGCGGGAGTTTTTATCTGCTGTAGGGTAGGAGGGTCCTGCAGAGGGACCTGGACAGGCTGGATAGATGAGCTGAATCCAGTGGTATGAGGTTCAACAAGGCCAAATGCCGGGTCCTGCACTTTGGTCACAACAACCCCCTGCAGTGCTACAGGCTGGGCACAGAGTGGCTGGAGAGCAGCCAGGTGGAAAGGGACCTGGGAGTACTCATTGACAGAAGGTAGAACACAAGCCAGCAGTGTGTCCAGGTGGCCAAGAAGGCCAGTGGCATCCTGGCCTGAATCAAGAACAGTGTGGCCAGCAGGAGCAGGGAAGTGATCCTTCCCCTGTACTCTGCATTGGTGAGGCCACACCTGGAGTTCCGTATTCAGTTCTGGGCCCCTCAGTTCAGCAAGGATATTGAGGTGCTGGAGTGGATCCAGAGAAGAGCAACGAGGCTGGTGAAGGGACTTGAGCACAAGTCCTATGAGGAGAGGCTGAGGGAGTTGGGGTTGTTTAGCCTGGAGAAGAGAAGGCTTGTGGGAGACCTTATTGTGCTCTACAACTACCTGAAAAGAGGTTGTAGTCAGGTGGGGATCGTTCTCTTCTCCCTGGCAACCAGCAATAGGACAAGAGGACACAGTCTTAAGCTGCACCACTGGAGGTTTAGGTTGGACATTAGGAAGAAGTTCTTCACAAAAAGGGTGATTGGGAATTGGAATTGGCTGCTCAGGGAGATGGTGGATTCACTGTCCCTAGAGGTGTTTAAGAAAAGACTGGAATTGGCACTTAGTGCCATTGTCTGTTTGACAAGGTGGTGTTAGGTCATAGGTTGGACTCAATTTATCTCAGAGGTCTTTTCCAACCTAGATGTTTCTGTGTTTCTGTGATTTTATTGTATGGGCTGATGTGACAACCATTTGTTCCCCAAAACTGGCTCTCAACCTGACATTCCCTAGCTTGTGATCTCAGTAGGGTTTGAAGCAGTATCATCCTTCCCCCCATTCTGGCCTCTTCTCTTGCACTGATTGGGTGGCGAGCTGGTGCAATGAACTGCAGCACATTGTTATACATCAGCTTAGTCTATGGACAGGTCAGATCCAGTCAGCTTTCTGTGAGGTTGCTTGAGCTCTTTATTAGTATGGGCCAGACCATGCCAGTGGAATGAGTGGAAGGTGCTGTAAAACCACATACTTGTATGGACATGTGCATTTGCATTTGCAGGCTTCCAAAATCTACAGCTGAAATTGTTATGCATATTCTTTTGTGTTATGCAATGTTATAAAATTATACTTCACAACCCTTGTTTCTTGTGTTGGAAGTCCTAAGTAGATTATATGCTTGACTGGTGAAGCTGGAATAAATACATTTATTGACTAGTCTTTTCTTTTCCTGGTTTCCTAAAGAGGCATCATTGACAAATGACACTCTGTGTTCCCTTCTTGTCAGATGGGAAAGAATGCTGAAGCTCAGAAGCATTTTGTGAAGTTATATGCTGCTATGACTGAAAGTTGTGCAAACTTAGCTGAATTAGCTAGCTTGAGCACTGACAGCAGTGCAGACAGACAGCAAGAATGCTTGAGGAACTGAAATTCAAATTATGTTACTTTATGCTATCCCTGAGCTCTGTGGTCAGCACTCAACACTTGTGTCTGAGAAACTTAGGGAGTCAGAGAACTGGAAAAAGCTGGACTACCAGGTGTCTCAATGGAATGAGCCTGCAGACCTCTCAGAGGACTCAAGTGGGTCTTTCCTTTTTCTTGTCTTATTAGAAATGGACAAGAAGTGATCAGAGCCCCTTTTGTTAGAAGAAATTTTCTACATACTAGAGGACTTCATCTTTCTTTGTATCTTTTCCCACCAAGAAAGAAACGTGGTTTTTTAGGCCTGTTCTAAACTTTATCTCATTTATGTTGCTTCGCTAAGGCTTTCCTCATTTGGCTGTATTTTCAGACAGACTTGAAAGGAGTTTCAAATGGAATCCAATTTTCTCATTGTCCTAACCTGCTATTTAGAATAGTGATCCAGAATATTTGAATGTATTTGGAATCTTCTGTACTTTTAAATACAACTTGTGGACGGGACTAAGCATGAAAGACTCAAAGGACTTCAAAAGTGGTTGAAAGCTGGGTTTAGCATTTAATGTGATATATCAGCATACAAAAATTCAGAAGGTGAAGTTAAAGAGGAAAGTGTAGCTCTAAGGAAAACATATGAAAGATGTCCAACACAATTTTAGTTCTCTCCCAGCTAAGCTTTTGTCTTAACAAAACATCCTTATTCCTTTACTATTAAGATGAAAACCAGTTATATAGAAGATACTTTTTAGCACTACAGGAAATAAAAAGGATGTACCTTGATGAAGATATCAGTGTTGACCTTAGACAGCACTTTCCTAAATAAGAACACGTGTTAATTTTTGGTTGGGCTATGCTATGGTGTTGAGTTGCCCTAGGTCAGATGCCCTGCCCTAATATCTCTACATTAAATTGTATCTGAGCTATGAGATCCTCTGCAACCATCAGCTTTGTACTTTGCCCTGGAACGCAGCACATAGCCTGAGGAGATACATACATATTATCTTTCTAGGTGGAGCAGGATTTCCAACATGCTGGTATTTGCATTGCATGTTTAGCTGAACTGTGATGCAGATTTACACTTGAATGGATTCTTTAGATGTCTAATCTTCTGTCTATTGTTTATTTACCACAGATTCTAATCATGAAATGATAATTTGCTTTTTTCCCCTCATTATTTTGATGACACAGCACAACTGTCACTTTCTTTCCATCACAAGGCTGCATCAGTTTCACTGCTTACAATGTGATCCCTTTATATCTGCTTGTGAAGCGTTTGGAAAGTTTTGCAGCAGTTCTGACTCTCTAGAAAGGTCCTGTGGTCTCCAAGGAAAGGCAGTGAGGGAGCAGGGCTCCTACTCTGTAGGAGCTGGGCTCATTTCATACTCATGAGATTTTAGGAAGAACTATTTGTTGAGCAAAACATTTCTGTACAGACTTACATAGACTGTTATACTGTCAGCCAGTGATAAAGATTGGATACTGCACTTGAAAGTTTTTAAGAGATGCTTATGAACAACATTCTGCAGTTTTTTGTGTATGGGTAGAGAATATACTCAACAATAGGGCATTACTGACTATTCAAGGGCATCTAATACAGCAGCATTAAAAAAATACTTGGTTAGCCACAAAAATATTCACAATACAACCATTTAGCTACCCAGAAAGTAGCTTCTATAAATCAGGAAGCCTCTTCCAGGAAACAGGATTGAGGAAACAGTCCTCCTTCAAATGCACAAGCCACGTGAGACATGACCAATTCACAGGTCTGGCAGGAAGTTAGTGTTTACTAATATTAGCTCCTTTCCCTTTCTCCTTCTCACATGCATAGAAGCTCCTGCCATGTCCTGTGGGAAGCCATTGCCCTCTAGCTCCCAGAAAGATACATTATAGCACCATCCTGGTGACAGATTTCCAAAGGAATTACGCTAACACTGAAGAAAGTCCATAAAAAATACGTAATTCTATTTTATCTGAGTAAAGCAAAAGAAGAAATAAAAAAGAAGCTGCTTAAAAAATTGTTTTAATCTGAGATCATAGAACAATGATGTCTCTCCTTTTCAAGTCTCAGCTTTCTACAGGTAAAATCATGGAGGTACATGAACAGTACTGTGCACAGTACTGTGTTTTAGATCTTTCTTAGCTGGCCATGCATGTTTAATGAGTGTTTACTGAAGGCATACATTCCCTTTACATTAACATGAACTCATTGTGTTATAAGTGCTAGTGTCATTTTTGCTGAGACCTACATACTAATCATCTCCCTGAGCTCACAGAATCACAGCATGACTGAGACTGGAAAGCACCTCTGGAGATCATCTAGTCCAACTCCTGCTCAAAGCAGGGTCTCAGGAAACTCTCATTCCCTATTTATTATACCAATTAATCTTTACAGTATAAAATTGTATTAACTTTCTTTCAAACATATGTATAGTTTACATTGTATACTGAATAGCCATGCTTAAGCAAGCAGAACAAAGGACCCCAGCTCATGGTAATGATGAGGACAACCTAGTCCCTGAGATAAGTACTTTGCTTCTTGGAAACTTAAAAACTGTCCATGAGGGATAAAAGATACCCCTGGACAACCAAGATAACACCAGCATCCTAGCCCTTCTAACACATATTTGAAACCTTCCCACTGTCTGTCTCCACAGATAAGTAACCATAGCAAGACTGACCCCAGGGACATCTGATCAATAGAGAAGAAGGTGGATGATGACATCATATAAATACAGTTGCTTTCCAAAGTTTTACTATGGTGAGTAAATGGTAGTGCGTGTTAAGCAGCAAATAGTCAAATCATGTTGCACCTGAATGCTTGCGTTGCTTTGAATGGGATACCTCAGGTGCATGAATAAAATAATTACTCTTGTAATTCTATGCTTTGCATCCCAGCTTCTCTCCTTAGATGGCATGGGTCAGCGCAAATTGTAATCCAACTACAGCAGGTTGCCTGGGGCTGCATCCAGTTGGGTTTGCAGTATCTTCAAGGACAGAGACTCCAGAGCTTCTCTGGGCAGCCAGCCACTTCCAGAGTGTGACCACCTTGACACTATAAAAGATTTGTCTTATATTATAAATATTGATAAGATCCCCCCGAGGCATCTCGTCTTCAGGTTGAACAGTCTCAGCTTTCTCAACTCACCATTGTATGGCAGATGAACACTCTTGTGGGTCTCGTCTGGATTTGCTCTGGTGTGTCCACATCTTGTACTGTGGAGCCCAGCCCTGGATCCAGCACTCCAGGTATGTTTCACCAGTGCTGAGCAGAGGGGAAGGATCACCTCCCTCAAACTGCTGGCAATGCTTCTCCTAATGCTGCCCAGGACACTGTTGGTCGTCTTGATTTTCCTGCAGTCTTAATAGGACTGTGGAATCTAGTCTGTTGCCCTGTAAGAAGGGGTTAATATTTCAAAGCCATAACAAAGTGTAAGATGGAGCATTCCCATTTCAAAGCCATAACAAAGTGTAAGATGGAGCAGTGCTGACAGCCCATATTCTTCAATAATTTTATGAATTGCCTTTAAGCTATGTAGTGAGAAAAGACCAAATACTACACAACACCTTGTGATTTGGTACAAGTACCTGGAGATGGTCTGACTGCTGTTGCTCTTCCTACATTTCAGACTTCCAAAGTTATGGCTTATGTTCCCCACCTCTGATCTCAAGTCGACAGCCTCACTTCATCAAAGAAAGCCATTCCTGACCCTTATCAGTGGGTAAATAAAATGGCAAAAGCCTCCACCAAAAGGACTGGGTGAAAAAACATGGGAAGACTTTTTAAAAATCTCCCCACCCCATTTCAAGCTTTGAACATACTGCTTTCTCATTATACCCAACTCATATTTGAACAACCCAATGCATACATCATCTAGTTCACTGGATAAACCCTCCATTGGTTTGGTAAAATTTGGAAAAGATTTTACATTAATAAATAAAAACTTATCAATCTCTTTTGAATGTTGGATTACCAGGGAAAAAAACCCCAAGAATACAATATGAAAAGGCTGACCTTTTCATCCATTAAAATTACATGCCACTTCAGAATTCCTTTTTTCCCCATAGTTCATTGTTTTTATACCTCCACCAAAAGTATTTCTCCACAAAAAGTAGTTTCAATGCACCGTGCAGATTTTGGAAGAACAGTAAAGAATGAACACAGTTTGAACAGGAATTTAAACCACCAATAAGTTTTTGGCTAACAGCTACTAATACACAAGATGCAGTGGAAGAAAAATAGATGAGAACAATATAATATCAGCAGATGGCAAATTGCATGTGTTTGCTTTCTGTCCCTTGCAGTAACATAGTTCTATTTGCAGAGCTGGTTCTGCTGCCATAGCTAGAAGAATTATTTAAGCCAGACGATGATTTTTTCTTCTTTCTATAATAAATTTCCCACCAGTCGAGTTTTTCTCTGTAAATTTTGGGTGTAAGTGGAGAGTGAGAATGTGGCACCCATGACCTGCATACAGAGCCCCTGGGGAACAATTTACTTGAAAGAGGTAGATTTTCGTTTCTCATTTACCAACCTAATGATATGCGTCCTTTCCAGTGAAAATGCATAGCCACAAATCATCCCACAGAACTATTAGGCACTATATGATGCATAAACAAAATTATTTTATTAAAATTACAGATATTTTTACAGGTATTTTGTAGAAGTTTTTCTGAGAGAGGGTGGACTTTTGTCTTGGATTGCTGAAGTCTTCTCACATTATTGACAAACAACTTAATCCAAAACAGCCTGCTGATCCATTATCAAGATATATACACAGATTCTGAAATAAAATGTTTGGGGAACCTTAAAATGCACTTAGGCATGGGCCTATGTGGACTAAAAGCATGTGGAACTGATAATGAATTTTTTTTTTTATCAGAAAAACTTAAAAAAAGTATGCTATTGGCAGTTTTAAATACAAAGGCTCTAGAGGTGCAGAAATAGTAAATTTTTTTTAATCCATCTGCCCTTGCTGCCCTGTGGCCCTGCAGTGACATCAAATGTGGTAAGATGGAATGGTCTCAAGAAGTTCAAGATGGAACGGTCTCAAGAAATCTGTATGCTCATTTCAGAGTACTCCATTAAGAAAAGAAGAAGAAGTGGAAAATCGGACTTCACATATCCCAAAGGGCTGTCTCAATGTGAAACACACAGATGAAGTCATCTTTGAATAAACAATGGGGGAATTTGTGGGGAAACCCCTGAGTTTCTAAGTAAGTCCTCTGGGACAACTTCAGTATTTCAAAATTTTGCCCAAATGTTTATACTTTCAGCTTCTGCATGATGCCTTCATGTCAGAGAGTTATTTCTTAGGGAGCAAATCTGATGATTACATTCTCTGAGATCACGTCAGCACTTGCATATTTGGGCTGCATCAGCTGCCTCTGTGAAATGCCAAATCCTATTTTCCTCACGTGCAACGGTGAAGATGTCCTTTGCCCGTTTTTTCAGCATCACAAGATCAGAATATTCACTGAAAACTGTGCTATTTTTCCTTGTCTTTGAAAGATGGAGACGGGAAGAATGTTTACTAGATGCATATGAGGAAGGTACTTCAAGTGAGTAGAAATAATTTTTCATAAACCAGAGTGCTTTAAACAATCCCAACACAGCCTGTCCTAAAGGATGGACACACTGTGTGCTTTCTCATTACTGACACTAATGATTTCCCACACAATTCACTGTTACTGAAGTATCCTTTAATTTTTTTTTCTGTAGATTAATTCAGTTCATAATTCCCCTTTTCCCTGGCTGCAGCCAACTAACACCATCTAGTAGCTGACTCTGAGGAAATAATAGTGAATTTTTCTGCAGGATTCAGATGCCAGCTAACAGAACCTTCTGGAAGAGTATTCCTCTATTTGTGAAGGGACTTGTAGCACACTGTTTAAACAGAGTAAGTTTGGTTTCATTTGCACTGGAGAATTGCAAATTGAATATACAAATAGCCTGAACATTGTGCAGCTTTAAGAAATAACTTGAATATTACTTGCCCTCCCAGTCAGTGAGAAACATGCTCTTCAGCAGAAAATAGAAAACCAGTTCAAATGCAAAGGAAACAGAATTTAATGAGAACACATTATTTTGAATAATATACATATGTACATTTCTAAACTATAACTGCCTGACAGATCAGCTTCTATGGTTTTAAATTAAAATACAGTGTATTTTGCAATCTGTCATATTGCATTTATTACTTTTCATGGCAGTATTCTTGTAAAAGTCAACACCAATGAAAAATTCTCATATACTATTTTGGCCATTTTTTAATAAAACAAGTGAGGGTGGCATCTTGGGCCTGACTTCTTCTTGTGCCTCTACTGATTATTTTAATAAAATATATAGATTTTATACTGCATTTTTAAAGCTGCCTCTTTGTCTTTTGTGTTCACCAATAAGGAAATTAATAAAAAATACGTGTATTTTTCAAGGAACTATTACTTTAAAAAAGAAAAAAATCAAGAAATGAGCAGCCTGGAGCACCCCAAGGAAAGGGATTGTCAGTCTGAAGAAAAATTGCTATTTCAAGCAGAGGTGGCATAAGCCTTTGCCATTCTTGGAGTTGATGGCATTTCCTTTCAGCATATTATAAAGAAAAAGAAGTACTTTCAGATGCTTTGATTTTCTGTTCCCATGTCTTCATATACATCTAGAAAAGAACATATTTATAGTTATATATAACAGTTGTCCATAACGTTGCCTTTCTTTAAAAAAAAGAATATACATGTTGTAAACACGTAAACAAACAAGCAGTTCTAATTACAAAAGTAAAACAGTTTTTCAGCCTGCTCTTGGGGCATATTTTCAACCCATTGACTTTTGGCTGAATTTTTAGTATGCATAGGATGTCTAATATTTAAAAGACAAGACAGATTTGAGCCATAAACAATGTAATGGCTAATATGGCACCCTGCATTGCTGCACTTTCAGTACAGATATTTCAAGCTGCTCTTGCATTACCAACAATAATGTATCGGAGCACTTGCTAAAGGGTGGTGGTAATGCTGGGCTGACTCAGTACAGCCCACAGTACAAAGCGTGTGCTGAAATGCCTGGCAAGACTTTGCATCCTCACTGCTCTTCAGCAGCTGGCAGAGCAGAAATCTGTAAAATGATTAATGCTTGATCTGAAAGAAATAGTGTGGATCAGAGGAGAGGGAGATGATGTAAAATTATCTTCATTTGGAGTGAAAATGAAACCCAAGCTACAAACAGTTTCTGTTATCGGAACAGTTGAGAGCTATCAATGCTTATCTGTAAGAGCTAGCTAAACCTCTTGCTCATTAGCATTTGCAGCCATTTTCGAATTTCTTTCATATGCAGAAGAGCCTGTTGTCCAGATTGTCACACAATTTATATTTTGTTTAAAAAATATGCAAAAAATGTCATAAAACCCCAAACCAAAATGGCTTTAAAGAGCCTGTTTAATGAAATCCTTGAGTATCTGACAGTCCTGTAACTCCCACTGACTGTGGAGAGATGGAGCAGAACAGTTTCCTCAAAACATGATTTTGAGTTTTCCATTTGATTCTTTTGAGGAGCAGAGGAGGCAAATCTGCAAAAGACTGTTGTGAACAGCAACTAATGTTGCTGTCACATATTCATGTGAACATGAATATAAAACTTTGCAGAGCCAGCTATCATCTCACCTCATGTTTCAACCACAATTAGGTTATGAGTCTATCAGTCCAAACCCAAGAGAGTTGAAGAGTTTAATTGTTTTCCAGCAGTATTTTTACCTTTTAAGGTCTGATGCGCATTTAAAACTTTGTAATTTTTTAGAGTGTCAAAGGTGTTAGGCATTGGCTAGTCTGTGAATGTGCTGGTACTCTCACTGGCATTTCTAAGATCAAGAGAGAGAACACCAGATAATGCTGGTGAAGTTACATTCAAAGAGAGGATTTGAAAGGTTTTCACCCTGCAAATCTGAGAATGAAACATTGCTTTTGACTTATTTTTCTTTGCACATTTATGTTGCAGTATATAAAAGAATGCAGAAGTTTTAATGTTGTTAAAGGGAATATGCTTCCAAAATGGTGGTGTAACTCTTTGTGTAAACCCTTCTCTTTCCCAAGATCCCTTACCTGTACCTTTGGAATGTCTAAGAGAGAACTGGAAGCTCATCTATTGGTTGTTAACCCTTTCTTGTAATTGGTTGGTTTGTAAGACCTCCTGAACTCCCACTGGTCACATTGTAATCCCCCTAAGAGGTACTTAAGCAGTTACCCAGAACAATAAAACACTCTCTGCCTGCTCTCCCTGCCTGCTGCAGGCGTCCTGGTCTTTCTGGGGGCCATGGGACGCCGCGGGGTGGGAAGGGGAGGGGGAGGGCACTTTCCCCTCCAGGACTAGGGGTAAGAGGAAAGCCTCTAGACTGGAGTTCCCCTCCCTGTTCACCCTCAACGTTCGTCACATTTATTTTAATAAATTTATGAAATTACAGCAGTTCCAGTCAGAAGCACTGGGAATAAGAGCCACATAAAATTACCACTTTACTAATAAACCTGTTTGGTTCCCATAATATTTGTTCTTTTTGTTTTGTACAAAGAGAGATTCCTGCCATAAGCACACTGCAGACAAGTTTTAGACCATTTTCCTCATGAATATTGCTGATTATTGTACAGATGGCTCCATACGAAGCCTGTGGGATTCGTCCATAAGCAATCATTACTTTGCACTACAGGAGTTTGCAATTACTTTGCCAGTTTTATTCCCTGTTCTGTGGTGTTTTGTTTTTCCCTTATACTGAATGCTGAAGCATCCTGCTGTAAGCACCAGTGTTGACTGTTATGCTTATTTATTTACCACTCAGAGTGCTCCTTCTCAGCAGGTCAGGAATTGGAAAATTCATGAATGTGGTCTTTGTAATCTGAGTAGTTTACCCAGTATCATGCTTAGCAGATTTTGTGTTGTTAGTGAAAATTTTGTTCCTATGTTTCTTTTTTGAAATATGAAATATGAAAAGAGGAACGAAATGGGTTTATGCAAATTTGTTCTTTGCAACTACAGAATATGCTTTGCAAAGTTTGAGTTGAAATCTGAACTGTCACAAAGTTCAAGTTACCTTTTTGTTGCATTTATTCCTTTTTTCAGAGTGGTCATGTATCAGTGAGAATGTTGAGAAGGATGACATGTAGGAGGGAAGAATAAGAAAATATGTACTTTATGAAAGCTATCTTTTACATCTGGCTTTAAAAATCATCTTAGGGTTCAAAGTGAAAAATGCCAAGCAGAACAAAAACATCATTAGTAATTCAGTGCTTTCTCACTGATCAGCTTGTTTTTACAAGCATGGCTGTATGTTTGCATACATAATTTGGACACACAGTTGAAGATATAACCTGCACAAAATTTTTTGTATTGTAAGCACAGCAAGCAAATGCAGTCACATAAACATTGTGATTACTAAGCCAACTGATCAGTATATAGGTAAGAGTGTGTGTATTTTTCTTTGCAACTGAAAAAGAGACAGAACACATCATAAAAACATGGACAATGTGATACAATAGACTTGTTACCAAATAAAGTCTTGTGTGCTGTTCTTAATTTGTAAGAAGGACTTTCAATATTTATAAAAGATTTATGGCAGCTATACGGCAATTACAGAAACTTTACAGTGTATTCACTCTTTTTATGCCAAAAAGTGCTACACAGTAGGTGACTTGAACAAAACCAGGTCTACCAGACACTAACCACATAAGAACAACATGCTGTGGTGTTCTGGTATTTAACTCAGCAAAAGTGTTTCTGTGGAGTTCCCAGTCAAGGTACCACAGAACAAAATTGTTTTGCTCTAAAGACACAGATTACTCAATCAACTAAGCTTTGTCCATTAATATTTCAGTGGCTCTTTTAATAACTACTGATTAGTGATCAGCTGACCAGTTTCAACACTGCAAAAAGGCTGACCCTAACTCTACTTGATACATGGCTGGCAGGTCTGGAGGCTGTGCTGTCCATTAAACTGCTTTGACTGAATATTTAATTTGCTCAGTAGGAAGTGCTCTTTAGGATGCCCCAGTGCTGTGAAACTATAGCTACTATCTTAAATTATGCAGGAATTTTCATCTGAAATAGTGTTTGAAGATCTTACCTCCTTTCTTAAACACTTACACAAAACTGGCGTGATGAAACAACAGACTGGAGTCTTCAGGAGAAGTGAGGAATTGGATAGAAAACAGTGAAGGAACTGATGTAGCTTTTACCTGTTTTCCTTCCTTACCCCTCTCGGTGGAATCAAATAACAGTTACCAAAATTTAAATTGTTCCAGATGCTGAAGTTTTTGCCTTTGAGCTACCACATGAATGAACACAGCCTTTAACTTACTGTTGGTGGTCCTGTTGTGGCTGGTCAGGAACATGCTGAATAACTTCATAAACGGTACTAAGCATATCCTGGCCTGGGACAAAGTCAGAGCCAGGAACAGATTGACTTGAAACCTAAAAGTAGCAAAGTGTATTCCTACTGTAAGTAAAAATAGGAAAAGATTTGACAGAAATTAGACTGATAATGTAACTTGGCTTTTTTTTACCTTTTCACCAGTGTTTTGTGTGGCTTGAACAGGTCATGTCTATTAGTTTACATTTCTTTTTGGGTAAGTATTCATCATATTTATAATAAGGCAAGTAATAGTTTGAAATTCAGTTAGCACCTCAGAAGATTTAGGGCGCAACTTCTGCATTTAATATATAGCAAGTACTTATCTTAATGCAAGTCAAGAAAGGAACATTTAATACAGAGAGAAGCAGAAGAACAGACAGTAAAAAAGGAGAAAATACTCAGGGCATGAGTTCAGCATAAAACTCCCACCAGCATGTCAAAGAGAAAGAAATGCAAAGAATGAAGTAATACTGAAATTGTTCAACATCTGAAGTATATTAATCTGATCTTATGTCAACACAACAGACATACCTAGACTCCCCATCCATAAGAAATTCCCAGTCTTTCTGCCTATACCCTACCTGCAGTTCTTCATTATTTCCACTTTTTATTTTCCCCTTTCTCTGCTAACCAAAATGAATCAGTGAATCAAATGCCGACATTATCTGCAATACTACAAATCTGAACATAAACCAGAGCAGTTTCTCCTGTTTCTTAGAATTTTTCTGAAAATTATTATAGAATTTCTTTGCTTGTACATCCATTCTGTTGTCCTTGTCACCGGTCTCTCCCTTCTCTCCTACCAAGGCTCCAATTCCTCCCAGTTTCACTCTGCTGCCCCTAAATTCTGTGGCCCTGTTTCTGATTTTTTTCTTTGTCCTTTTACACAACATTCGGAATCATCTCCAACTACTATACAGTAATCTCAGCAAAGACACAATGCAAAGAAGCAGCAAGTGCAGTAAGATTTTTTTTCTGCTAGCAAAATTCCTTTGCTTGTCCTGCCCTACAATACATGAAGCTAAAAAAATATTTGTGAAATACAGCTGAGATTTGGCTTACATATTTTTTTACAATGAAAACTTTAAATACCTAAGACTTTTCTGCAGTGACAGAGTTGAATGTTGCATGAGCAGCAATATTAGGGTCAAGGGAGAAAATTGCATCAGAACAGTTGATCTGCTTGTGAGACACAAGTGTTTCAGTGTTACAACACTACCACTATTCTTTTAATGTAATTGGATGGAGAGTCCTGTCTTCAGAGCTTGGTTATTCCTTACTGCACCATGTTGATACAAAGTACTGAACTAGTAATGCGGTAAAGAAAGAGTAAGTACTGGGTAAACAAGAGCCATGAATATAGTGTCATACAGACATCTGTAAAAACCAACAGAGGCAAACCTACAGAAGGATTCTAGTATAGATATTTAGTACACCTTAAGAAATAGATTAGAAACCATCTGTTTTTAATGTAAAATCACATACCCTAGAACCACTGGCAAGATCAGGAAAAGCGACAAACTCATATATCCCAAAATCATCCGAAGCACTTTCATGTCCTAAAGTTAGAACAAACAAACATGAAAAAAAAAGGATTAAGATGTAATATGAACCTGGAAAATAATGGCTGGCAAAGTGTTTTGGCCAAATTTTTAAAACATCTGAATACTGTTTATGTGATCTGCCTTAAGCCTCTTCCCTGCCAAGCTCTTAAACTGGTGTGGTGTGAGGCAGAGCCGTTGCACAGCTCACAGCAGTGAGGCATTACCACCTGAATCTTTTACAATACTGACAATAAAAAAAAGGAAACATGATACTAATAGGTGCCAAATTATTATTTGGGATATCGGATACAGCTTGTAGTCAGGTGTACTTAACGGCTGGTTGTTAGGTGTACTTAGTCGCTTTCTCTACCCTCCCACTGTCCAGGAGATCTGAGACTCTCAGTTGTCTCCTGGGCATCACTCCACAGCAAAGTCTGCTGCACTATCAACAACGCTGAGATCCTGTCCTCTGATATCACTTGTTTGGGTGAAGGGCCCTCTGCGCTCAAGTGAAATCCTTACCTTCCTGAGCTTTGTACCCTATTCTCATGCATGTAGCAATTTACAGTCTGCTCTGATGCTCTGATAGAAAGGGATGGGAATAAAAGTGCTACCCTTCCAAAGGATGGCTGGCCTCCAGCATCTGCTACCCAGGACCATGTGGGAAGGATTGTGGAGGGAAAAGAGAGTGAAAAAAACCACACTGGGTCCTGAGGACAGAGAGAAAGGCAGTACAGAATATGATAGAAGGTTAAATATATACACTGTAATATCATATTATTATCTCATGATTTTGTAACAATTGGTGCCATGAACATCTGTAATAGTGATCCTCCCATTGTGTATCCCCTCCTACTGCTATCCCAGAATGACAGTAATTTATGTCATACGGTGAGAGCAGTGGCATACAGGTGATTCTAACCTCAAAATACTGGGATTACCAGCTGGGACTCAAACCAACAGGGTACATACTACTGTGAATTCCAGGCATGAGCTAAACTTGTTATTTTGGTCCTAAGTAAGCTAACATAGAGGTGTGCAACTCAAATTAAAAACTCACTTCCCTTCCTTTTCTTCTTTCTTTTTTATGTGGAGATTTTTTTTTTTTTTCCAGGAAAGGATTTTGACCTTATGCTCATATTTCTTTTATTAGCATTACCTGAAAATGCCTGTGCCTTTCTGTAATCAGCTTCTGGCCTGGAAAACATAAACATATTTCTCAGTTTGACGTCACAAGCCAAGGAAAGAAAATTAATATGATAAAATACAATTCTCTTGATGGAAAGGACTTCAAGACCTAAGAATGATTTATTTTTGTACCTGCTTTGCAGCTTCTGTTGTATTACTGAAAAGAAGAAGAAGACAAAAAAATTATTCCTTTTGCTCTGAAGATCCAAAACAAGAACTGGACTGTGCCTAACATTTACATACCTTTATGTGGCTGATATCTTTTCCATAGGAATAAAAAAGTCATAGCTAGGATCAAAAATAATGAAATTCCTGTTATTACTGCAAGTGAAGATAAAGATTTTCCTTTCTGGGCCAGCTTTTCCAACCCTGTGACAAAGAAGATGAATAATGTATTTAGTTTCTTGTTCTCTACAATGACACTGAAAAATACATCTTTTGAAATTAATTTGAAGCTAGTAAAGGTGCATAGAGACACAAAACAGGTACAAAATTTGGGTTCTTGTGAATTGGTAATATTTTTTTTTCCCCATAAATCTCGAACTAAGAAAGCAATGATATGCATATCAGAAACAAGTCCAGAACAGATTGGTACCTAGAGCAAAATGAAGGTTAGTTAATATAATCCACAAATTACAGCATCACAAAAATAGGAGCATATTCGAAATTTAGTTATAGAGACACTGAACTACCAAGAAACTGGGTCACAGGTGAGTAGGTTGTATTAGAGGGAAGGGAAATCCTCTAATTCGTAGGAGCCATAGAGTAGGAAGGGATAAAAGAACCATTATACTTTTTCTAAAGACTTTTAGGTCACTGACAGTCTGGTTGTTTATCAAACCCCATAAAAAAACAATAAATTATGTTTGTTTGAATTCATGACTTAATATATTCAAAATATTTCTTTCCCTTGCTCAGATATTTTGTTGGGATATACATTAGCAGCAGTTTTTTAGCAGGATTTACTGATACAACACAACCACAAATTGCCTAAAATTACATGTTCTAAAGCACATGGAAAATAATTGTGGTGAATTTTGAAAAGACGGGAATGTGATGGTTAGGAAGTGCCAGACACAATTGATTGTGCACCCTTAATTTCCTCCTTTTGCTCTGAACTGTGCAGAATTCTCATAATTAAAGGCCATGTCGCAATCCACACACGTAAATTAATGTTGCGTATTTCTCAGCACCAGCTTTATAAGTACAATTCAAATGTGTATTATTTAGCTGGATGTATTTCCAGTACTTGAAGAACTGTGCAGAGAGCTGGTGTTGCTTACATCAACTAACACCTGCACTGTACACTGGCATTGTGCTGGCTGCATGTGCAGTGGTTATCATGAAGATTAAATATGAGGATTTCTAACCAGATGTGTCCTGAAGATAAGGGAAAATAAATCACTGCAATTTCACCAAAATTTTGCATAGGCCTTCAATGTCCTGCTTTCCTTAGGGAAGAAAAAAAAGGCCAAATGCTGGAAAATCAGATGAGCCCTTAAAATTGTTCTTTAAAATTAATAATTTCAAATTTAGATTAAGTAAATCCTATCTTCCACAGGCATACCAGTGCAGAAAACAAAGACATACTCTGCATGCATTTAACACACTCAAGTTGACTCAACGTGAGAACTGAGCAATGGCTTGTGTATATAATGAGATACTTCCTCTTATTTTGAAATATTGCTAAAACTGGGAAACAGCTTAGTGCAATTGTTGATATAATTGTAACTTATTGATACAATTATTTAACAAGGCTTGATGCTTTTTTTTTTAATCCTTGATCGTTTTTATTATTAATTAGGCAGCTCTTTATAGCACCATATAGGTGAATTTCTATCCTTTCGTTGGGAAGTTGTGTAAGGTCTTCTGAAACATCAGAGTTCCTATTGCTGCTGAAAATGGGGTTTCTGGTATTTTGAAAGGCATAGTCCAGGCTCTATATCTAGGATTATGGGGATAGGGAAAAGGAATATGGAGCAACTTTCATAGTCTTTGCTTAGTATGTTTATTCAGTGACAATCAGAACTTAGCCTGAGCAGCATCTCTAAGATTTAGCCTTGAGTGTGAATTCATATCTCTTAGAATCAGTCAGTGCTGCATTGCAAAGTGTAAGCTTGACATCTGCATTTAGTGCTATCTGAATAAATATTCATCAAAAAGAATATGGTTTCAGAGGGGGAAAATGACCTTTTTACATTTTTAAATGCACAGAATAATAATACATATTTGAGTAAAATATTTGTAATTAGGAAATTTATTATATCAAGTGCAACTAAACATGAAGCTGTGAAGTTTTCCCTTCTTTTGGGCCTTTGAAAGGAAGTGTCAGCTGAATTTCTTAACACATACTGATGAGTATTCACATATATATCATAGCTTACATGAACTGCCCGGAGAAATGTCATGCTTATTTCTATTGACACAGCTCTTATTGCATTTGCATTCACCACTAACCACAAAGTTTAGTTTTCACGTGCAGTATTTTCACTATAAAATTGCAACCCATCTTCCTTCCAGCATACTGAAAGCCATGGATTTGTGATGAATCAATAAGTCATACAAAGTGATGGACGTCTGCTCTCTTTGTTTACCTGAATAACAAATGGCTGAGCTCTTTGTTCTGCACAAGTGAAATTGCTTTATTAAATTCTCTAAAGGCAATCTATTCTATCTTGTTGAACATTAATAACATACATTCCTTATCTGAAAATACTTGTCTCCATCTGTACTAATGAGAGAGATCACACTTCCTCAATATATTGTTCTTCCCTGTATGCTTCTAAACATTTTCTGAAAAACTGCTTTGTTGCTCTTTAACACAACCTGATACAGGAGCTGAGGTTATAGTGTAGGAGAACAGAACCTAGCAGTCAATCCAGAAATTCACAAAAACGACAGTGGGCCCTGTTCAAAGTTGCGTTACACTGTGACTAAACCTTGTATCGCAAACCCTGAATGGCCAAAAGCCCCTTTACTACATTGTTAGTCAGACCTCCATTATTCTAAGAATTATCCCTTTCTATGTGGCTGACACTCCACTCAGATATTACAGTTACAGCAATGACATTAGTTTCTTACCCACAGAAGTAACGACGACGGTGAAGTGAGTTTCATCCCGTCTTCCAGTCATGTTGTTGAAAGCACGGCACATGTAATCTACTGTCTTCTGGGCCACTTTATCAGATACAACTTCCAGATGGGGTCCATATTTGATTACATGAGTGGTATTGTCATCCCTTCGAATCCACGAATAAGTATTTGGTGGATTTGAATCTGCCAAACAGTCAAACAGTATAACTTCTCCCACGTCAATTGTAAACACAGCCCCTATATGCAGACCTTTATCTGACTTTACTCTAAGTCCATAAGGTCCATCTGCATGGAAAGAAAAGAAAAGGAAAGCACAGTGAGAAAAGGAAAATCAAGGTATATAATTAAACTTTTAATCGGAGCATATCTCTAAACTTGGAATTTTTAAGTTAGACTAGCCTTATCTAGAATCTATTCTAAAGGCTAGTCTAGCTTTCAGTTCAATAACTGGATCTGCACTAGGTTTAGCTTAAACCACATCCACTTGATATTGGTTTATTTTTATATATTTATATATATTTATATTTTATATTTATTTATATATTTGTTGTTTAAGGAGAAAGCACAGGTCTATGCATTGGTCAGTATGATAAAAAGAGTGAAAACTGAAATCAGTTCGAAAAGCTATGAAGTAAAGGAGTATATCTTCTTCAGGGGCATATTTGATTTCTACTTCAATGCCAAACTTACTGCTATAAGTAATTTCTCTGCAAATGTAAAAGTGAATAAATTAGCCTTGGAGTATATAAACATCGATTTTAATATTTAGCAGTATAATAATTGTTTAGGGAACTATCCTACAGATATAACATAAAGTGGAGTGGGCCTTAGATACCTTCAGAAAAAGTTTTCCATAAAAGACTGATAGAATAAACTTTAACTTTCCCCCCACTGCAGTACGCTTGTACTATTCCAACAATTAAGTTTTTTTTCAAGAGTAAGCCCTTGTGCTGAAAGAAGACTGTGTTTCAGAATATAATTAGAAAATGCATATATTGTCCAATAGTCATGTGTTCATTACTCAAAAAATAGAGCAGCTACGTATTTCTGGGATAATCTTCAAAGGAAAATGGGAAGGGAAACAATATATTTAAATATTATAGGAATATTTCCCATGTTATTTTTATTAGATTATGGGGCTTCTATATCTTCACATGTTAAAATGATTTTCAAGTTTTGGAAGTATAGAAATTATTGTAGAGAATAATCAAAATGTGCCTTATTAAAGCATTTTTTCCAGTCAAAAAAACCCCTAATAATTTTATTCCCTATGGACTTACATGAATAATCAGAAATGCACAGACCTATTATTGACAGAGGCAAAAGAAGAAAATATGAAGAATATCTTTTTGGTAAGATCCCTGAAGTTCAGTAAAGCTGCTGACAAGTGCTTTTCTGCTGACACAGAATGGCATAGCAAAAAATGGGCACAGCACTGTGCCCATTTCAGACAATGCAATCAAGTAATATTTACACCTTCCTAGTGTTGTCTGGAAGAATTAAAATAACGTAGCTGGGTTTGAATCTGAAATTCCCTGCTATGTGAAGCTGCACACTGGTGCATTTCAGACTCCACTTCTCACCAGGAAATTCAGGCTGCTGTTAGAGCTTCCTCTAACGTACACTTCTATTTACCATCTGTCTTTTTTTATGACTCATTTATTCCTTAAGAACACACAGGCCACCACCATGCAGCACAAAACAGGCCATTTTTTTGTATGCTTCTGCTTTTTACTGTTTGTGAAGACTTAGATAAGAGAATGTCTACCACATGTGACTTCAGTTTAGTCCACTTTTAACCAAATGTCCATATTTCACAACGTAAACTTGTCAAGCTTTTTATTTTCTGTATTTATTTCCTAGTGGCAAGCTTTTTGCAGTCTCATTTTAAGGAATGGCCAACATCATGCAAAATATTTACTTGGGAAATAAAATACAGACTCACTTTAGCATGAATTAGTGCTGCTCCCACCCACCTTGAAGAATAAAGGCATTTTTTTAAACTCTAGATGCTGGGCTGCTTCTTCACAGGTTCTGCAGTTCCTGAATCACTTGCTTTATTGTCTCCAAGGGCCAGCTAACCCTGTAATGAGCACTACTGTGAAGTACAGACCTATCCCAGAACACCAGCCTCTTTCAGGGGCTCACCTCTTACAGGTATTTACTTCCCCCTTTTTCAGATGGGAAAGGAGAAGGGATATATTGATCTTTGACATTTTTCATAAATGAAAGTAAAGACTTTTACACGCTATTTAGAGGCAGGAACATACTTTTTTACTTTTCAGAGCAATTTGTTGGTTCTTCCTATCCATTTTTTCTTTCTTAATTAGCTTTTGTTTTCACTGATTATATAACCTTTGGTATGTGTAAACAGAGACTAATGGTAAGAATAGCTGACTGGTTTCTCTGCACTCTCACTATAGTGGGTGATTTGCCACATTTGCAAAAGAATCAGAACTGGATTCTGATACTGTTTTATCAGTATCATAACAGTGCAACACAGGGAGGTAACACTGACAACATAACTACACTTTTTCATGAAAGTTGCAAATTGAAAGAAACCATTATAAAAACACTGACACACACTGGCGGGGGAAGTATGTTTGAAAAAAAGAGAGCGGGGTTTTCATAAGCAACAGTCAAATCTTGGCAAAATATGAAAAGTGGCATTCCTTGCTGATGTCAACACGAGGACTGGGTGACCCTTCTGCTACCCCTGGCTCAGTTTTTTGCCTCTCCTGTGCATTGTGTACATCATCAAGATCCCTGAACACGGGGAAGCTGACAGGTATACACAGTTTCAAGGATGATCCTGAAAAGCAGGTAATTAATTAACCATTTCCACTCTAGTAGTAAATATATTCCAGCTTTGGGAAGTCCTAAGAAAGAAAATCCCACTTAGCTTGTTAAGTTCAACTCCGTGAATACAGTTCAACAGTTTCTGCTTCAGCCTCTAGGACAACAGCTTTTTCCAGTCTTGAAATAATTAGTTTCTACTAATTAGACTACTACAATAGCCATGTTCTGGGGTGCATTATCATCATAGCTAATGGAGAAGCAGAATAATACTAATAAGAAATAAAGAAAAAAACTAATTTTGATACTTAGTAAAAAAACAGTGACAGCCTTCATGGATCCCTCAGCTCTACGTCTCCTTTCCAATATTGTTTTAACATGCCTTTTGTCTCAGTAAAAACAGTTAACTAAATGACTTGTAAAATAATAAATCATCCCTCCTGAGTAACAATTTACTGCTCTATGGGAATATTTCCAATTGCTCCTATCACCATGAAACTGTTACAGTTTCCAAGCAGATGGCAGGTATTTACCGTGAGTGACCTTTTCTTTATCACCTCCAGTAACTCCCCCGCAGCAATGACATATGGCACAGAGAGAGATCCCAGGGCCTGTTCTGGATTGTTATTGACAACTGGGAGCTGGGAGACAAACTACCTCTGCAGGCAGAGGTTGAACCAAATTAGGTGACTTCATACAGCTCAGGAAGTAAGATCCTGATCCCATTAACTGACTTGGATATAGACAGCAGCAAATGTATTGCTCTCTTTCAGCATTGCATTGTTTTCTCTTAACATTTTTTTTTTTTTTCAAATCTTACATTATGCACAAAGCAAACTCTCAGTTCTGATGAATTACAAAGGACATTCTGAAAACGCAAATACTTATAATGCTGTTTACACATATGGAGAAAAACTGAATCTCAAAGTTTTTCATATATACTCATCTTTTGAGCTGTATATCTCAACCACTCAACCAGTAAAATATTCCAGAAATGTGGACACTGAAGTAACTTGAGATTTTAAAATTCTGATAAACAATAGGTCAAAAATTGGTTTCCAGTTTAGAGCTTGGGAAGTTTTCAAACTTGCTGGAATGTAGTTGAGTGAGGAAGAAGGGAGGAAGCAGTACTGGGGCTGAGACTCAAGGTCAGTGCAAGTGTTTCAGACACAGTGCGATCAGAGCTCTGGAGCTGATCCTGTGTGCAACAGGTCAGAAATGCAAATGCCACGCAGGCTGTGCTACAAACACAAAGAGTAGTCTGAAAGGTAGCAAGAGTGGCAGATATTTTCTAGCTTGACCTGATTTTATTGCACTGTAAGAAGGCTGTTGGGCTGGATAAAGTGACTCCAAGTTTTGTGTACATATTCTTTGAAAAAAGAGGTGTATAAGGCCCATTCATAGCTCATTAAAATTAAAAAAGCAATAGAGGCACTGCATTCACAAACCTTCATCTCTCACTCTTACACTTTAAACACTTAAATGAGCTGAGCTCGTGACTGCACAAAAGCAGGCATTTAAAAATGTGCTACCTTAAGAAAGAAATGCTTTTTTTTCCCTTTAATTACAGTAATGATAAATTAAAACTCCCATCAGCACTGGGGCTATTTCCTTGTAGAGTATTTTATCATAATTCCTCTGTCTAATGAGATGGAAGCTCAATTCACATCTGCCCTGTTTAGGACTCTTTGCAGCAGCTTCTTCATCTTCATGTCTGCATTGTTGTCAACTTTATAAGCTCCACATTAATGATCAGCTCATATCTAACAACATCCTTGTTAATCTTTGCTCATTTAAGCAGTCTCTTTCTCTACTCCTGGTGCAGTGTAGAGATCCCGTACACACGCTTTAGATGCAAGTCACACCCTTATCCAATTCTTCCAAGTTATAATTAAAAAGAAATAAGTAGAAGAATGAAAGAGCTGAAAGGAGGGGGAGGAAAATATTACAGTAAGAGGTGTAGGTTCTGAATTTGCTGGTAGTGCAATTACAGCAAGTCTAGGGCATATAGCAAGACTGCCTACCAGCTGCCAGGTGATAGAGCTTGGTAAAACCAAGAGTGAGCACCAACCCTTGGCTGGACAGGAATCCTGTTCCAGTCCTTGCACTGTGCCATCCACACTGTGCCATTTGTTAAACTGGTTATATCCGAACAGGACTGGTGGCAATGTAGGTCCTGACCTGTCTGATTTCAGCTCTCACCTGAGAATGATACTTTGACCCCTGGGGACATGAGGATTAGAGCATGTCAAGGTCACATGTAGCATGTGCTACTTGCAAATCCTAGAGGCACTGGGAAAAATTAGTGCCTCTTCTAAGATTTATACTATAAATTGTTGAATACCGATTAAATTCATTCATGAACTCAATCTATGGTCACACTTAGTTTCTCAGGTGCCTTCATTTCCAGTTAAAATATATGGCTACCTTATGGTTAATTCTTCTGCCAACACTGGTCTTTATGCAACTCTTCTTGCTCCCTCATGTTTCCCATTTGACGTGGAAAGTAAACACTCCTTTCGGCTCTAATTTTGCTAAGCCTGACTGTGTTCTTTGGGTCTCTTCCCCATTTCTTTACTTTTTGTTTCTTTCTAGTTTGAGATCAGTGCTCTAGGATCTGCAGGGACTGCATACAGCATTCTACATGTGGACTTACCTTCTGTGTGCTATTAGTATTCCATTGCTTCCTTGTTGGAATTCCTTTGCCCACCATCCTAGGATTACATATGTCTTTCTCATGCATGAATCACACTGTTAGCTCACAGAAATCTTGTGATGGCTCAATTACCCAGGCTCTCTGCCTTGATTATTTACCAATTGATCTCAATCTAATCAGCAGAAGTTCATGTTTTTTATTTCCTAAAAGGCCATGCCCATTTACCTTTTACTAGCAAATTTCATACCAGTTCTAATACTATTGCTGATGCCATTACTGAAAGAGTTAAACAGGACTGGACTCCAAATGATCTTAAGGAAACCCACTAACACCAGTCCTTTAGCCTGGTACTTTCTGTGCTTAGTTTTTTGTTACTGTTTGGCGTCTCCATTTTTAACATCTCCAAATTTACATGTATAACCATTGGACTATTTTTTTCCTTTAAATCCCATCTCCTCCAGAACTGAAGATGTCTATGGAATTCTTGAAGTTCCTATTTGAATTCTGCAGTTGAGACTGATCTTTGTAACTACATAACACTGAGTAACTTGAATATCCTGTCATAAGTTAGAGCTATTACAAACAAGCTCATTTTGAATGCAAGCTCACATATAATGTTGACTCAACTGTTTTCTACCTGTTTTCATAGTTAGAGGCACTCTTTCCAGCCAGATCATTCATACAAAGGTCGTAATGAATATTTCATATACTCACAATATATGGTTGGTGCAATTATCTCACTTTCCATTGCACTGACAGGGTTAGATACCAGACAGCTGTAATTCCCAATGTCTTCTTTTACTACAGGAACAATTAGAAGTGTAGCATTGTTTGATGAAAAGGTATAATTAGGGCCAGCATGGAGATGCTTCCCATTTTTCATCCACTGGTAAGTTACTCTTGTACCTTTACCCACAGTACATTTTAGGGTAATATTCCCTACATATTCCACTACTCCTGAAGATGGTTCAGTATGTACAGTTGGCTTTGTGACTGGAACTGTAAAATAAAGAGATAAGAAGAGTTGTTAAAATGAAAAGCCACTATATTACAGTCTTCATTGTCAGGATGATTCAAATAGCACTCATCATTCTCACTGGAAATTACTCATACTTCAAATTTTACCTATTAAATGTGGTTAAAGTTTAAAAAAGAAGGTCATATTGTCAGGTGGTGACTGCAAGATTTTCTATGGTACTTGAATAAAACCAGACTGTTTGGATTACTGGTAACAAGATAAAGGCTGCAGTGAGGTATACCACAGGCTCCAGCTCTTGCCTCACATACAAATCACTGAGGCCACAGAAATGAAAAGAGCACAAAGCCTGATACTGCCTATGATGTATGACTTCTCAGTATGACTGCCTGCAGCTTTGCTGACACTGGGCACCACTGGGTGATCCAGTCGTGAGGATGGCTGCAAATTGGGATGGGTTTGTCAGTTAAACGGCAGCTACAACTTTGTCACCTCAAGATATCATTAATCTCATTCTTCTAAGCCCAAGAGTTACAGGGCTCTCTCTGTGTAATCCATAAATTACAGGAGCCTCTTTAACCTCTTCAGTTTTTTACTTATGATATAGAAACATCAGTCAATATATTAATTTTGTTTAGATGACATATTTTATCACTCCCTCCAGTAGCAGTAGGAAACAACATAACTTTATTCATGTATGGTTGCATTAAATGATACACTATTGTAACTGCATATTAAGAACTGGTACTTCAAAACTATTGCAATTCTATTTTCAAAATGAAGATACTATCTCTTTCTAACTTACCATCAACAGCTACTTGAATCTTTTGACTTGCAGCTATTGTTCCATTTCCACGGACATTGACTTTTACAATATAATTGCCCTCATCGCTTATACGTAATGGATTGATCATCAAAGATGCATTTGGTGGTACAAGGGTAAACTTGTGCTGGTATTCCAAGTCTGGAACTACTGTTTGATTTACAGAGCCAAGCAAGTATTTTGGATTACTCTGAGGCCTCTCAAAAAGCCAAATTATCTGGATTTCAGAAGCTGTAGCATTGAAATTGTAGTCAACAGTAAGATGAAGTGGTTGTCCCTCAATACCATGGATTGTTTGAGATGGTACTGTCAACTTTAAGGCAGAACAAATACCTGCATAAAAATGAAAAACCAAACAAATAAACAAACCCAAACCACAACTGGAAAACTTGAATGAGAAATTCTCACTGTGAAAAAACTCTCAATGTTAAAACTTACACTTTTTTGTATGGTTATAACTCAGATTTCAAGTAAGAAATGGCAAATGCTCACTGACCTTGGTGAAGTTGGGTTTAGCCGCAGCTTCAAAACATAAAAAAAAAGACAAAGGAAGGACCTTTTACTGTTGAAACTTTGAGAAAAATGAGAAAACGTACATTGACATTAATGTATAAAATATTTTCCCCGTAAACTATTTCAAATTCCTACATCTCATACGCTCTAATAGTCTTGGATTGCACACTCAATTTTTAGGATTTTTTTTTCTAGGTTGGTTCAGCTACAGAGCAACTTCTCAGTTGCTTTGTCAATTATACTGAGAAACTGACTGAAAACGTGGCAAGCAGCACTTCCATTAATGTTTGATGAAATTATATATAGTTATTATGGTTGACTGCTCAGTACCTGCAGGACTAAATTCAAGAAACATTACTAAGCCTGCAAAAATCATGTATTCCAATCTTAGGAAATTAGCAGAATTGATGTTGATATCCACAAAAGCAAATTTTTTGGCCACATGATTAATTCTGTTCTCCAAGAATTCTATCTCTGTTACGGTGCAAAAAGGTGACTCCTCAGTTAATCATTGTCTTTCCCATATATTTTTTTTAATCATTTTTCATTGTGCTGGCCTGAGACATATTTAGAAAACATTATTAAAGCTTTAGTCTTGGGACTGAGTGATTGATTTTCACATGAACTTTTCCACAGAACTCAAAAGAACAGCATAGACATTAATGAACTGATTTCACAACACCATCATAATTGATAGGATTTTACAGATAATGAATTTAAGCCCAGAGAAATTTAACAGCAAAACCACCCATTTATTTTGGATGATCATTTTGAAATATTAAGGACTGGATATTTCAAAATACATATACTCATACTTTAGTATGTTCAAGACGCAACTCCTTTTGACTCCAACTGAGGTTTGACTGCTCAGCTTTGAGTGCTCAATGCTGAACAGCACACTACAAGTGCTAAGACAAAACTCTAGGGAAAAAAACCCCAACCTATTATAAGTAAGGATGTGTAAAAAAAGGGATTTAAGTAATCTGTCTGATACTGCATAAGAGCACACTGGAGACTGAGGATGCACTGCCCAGGACAACACACAATGTTTTCACCATGCACCATCTATTCTCTTCCTGCTACTGATCATCTTTCTTTGGACCAAATGATCCTTGAGGTTTCTTCCAACCCGGGATTCTGTGATTCTTGACAAACACCTGTAACCAAAAAGTAAAACCCTAGCTGCAGTACACAGAGTACACTTCTACCTGGAAAGCGGTGGGTAGTATGGGGAGGGCAGAGGGAGTTACGTGTGAAAAATATGCAAGTGTGCTATTAAAGACTGCTAAAAAATATGTGTGTAACATTTCTTAGAGGTTAATTCCCTGACAGTTAATTACTGCACAAATCAGATTTAAATTGCTGTTGTATAATTGAAAAAAAGAGAGAAAGAGAGTAAATTTTCAAAATATATAAGACTGGAGATCTATTTTATAGAACATATCAAATACATTTCAATTTCTGTATCAACTGGAATGAAGTAAAAAACATAAACAGAGATCTGGGAGATCTGTAAATGGTCAATTAAAAGATCTGTTCATATCCTTCCTCATTCTTTACACATGCTGCTGCTCAATTTCTGGGTTTATTTAGCTGGCAATAAGCAATTGTGCTGTTGGATAAGAAGCCAGTAACAGCTGCAATGTAATCATAAAATATGTAAAACAAATAATATTTCTCACAGATCTGTTTGTGCAGAAAATTGGCAAAACCCAAGCAGGTCTTGCAAGCACCAGGATAAGTGGGACCACCAGTATGAAAAGTAACACCCTACTAGAGCGAGAAGAAGAGAATTTTGGCTGGAAAGCTTACTTTCTTTGCAGTTAAAAACTGTGGGAATAGAAACTGCAAATTAACTTTGTTCCACTTGATTCACAGAGAATATTGGCTCCGTGTAACAGCTTGGAAAGACATTTTAATGTGCAGTTAAGGTAATTCTTTTAGCCAAGACCAGAGGTGGTGAGGGCAGAAACTCCATTTTTCCCCTGGTGTCCGTTCAGGAGTTGCTTGTTGCTCAATCCGGCTCTGCTAGGGTGATTTTGTGGAGTGCCACCAGCACACAGGAGCTTCTCCACAGCTGACAGAGCAAGGGACAAGGCAGGCTGAGACTGGGGCAAGTTATTAGGTAATGGTACTCTGTCGAAGGCAAGGGTTTTACAGGAGCACTGATGGAAAAATTCTGTTTTTTGCAAAGACCACATCTTCTGCAGTCTGGAATATTCTTTATTGAAAGGGTTATTTTCTTCATCAAAAGTGTTGTCAGGCATTGGAATGGGCTGCCCAGGAAGTGCTGGAGTCACCACCATCCTTGGAGGTACTTAGAAGACATGTAGACATTTTGATCAGGGACATGGTTTAATGGGGGAATTGGTAGTGTTGGATAATCTTAAGGGTCTTTTCCAACCTAAATGGTTCTACGACTGTTTTGTATTAGACTAGTCTATATTTTTAATTTCAACTGAAGACCGTTTTGACTAATCCTTGAACTAATGTCAAAATCAAGCCAATGTGCCAAACTAAATTCATATTCATCAGGCACAAATTCCATATAATTTTTCCTATCCCTACAGCCTTCCAAATATAATATATATTTTCCCAAGACAATGTAATTTTAGAAACTAGTTTTTGTTTAATGACCATAAGGGTTGTACCAAAACGACCTCCACTTGGAGCTCAGTGATCTGTGCTTTGCTTCCATCTCACTTTGCTATCACCAGTATTAGCAAGCACAACAGAGTTGTTGTTGACATAAAACAAGGGCTGCAGTTTTAGTTTAAATAAAAAACTATGACATAACTTTTGAGTTTACGGCATAAACTGAAACCTGCCTAGCGAGGTTTTAGCATTCTCGAAATTTAACATGCACATCTCCTTGTCAAAGTGAGTTTAGACTCTCAACTGCTTTTCACCTGTGTTCATTTAGCTCTTCAGCTCTCCAAACTCCCTGAACTCAGTGCAAAATGTCCTTAGATCAGTAATAACAGTTTTTGCACTTTTTCACTTTTGGAAAATATGTTCATTTATAAAAAAAAAAAAAACAAAAACAAACAGAAATAATGGACCAGGGAAGCTGCAATTTCTGTATCTCCATTTATATCAGGAAAAACTCGGGCATACTGTTCCCTCTGTTGGGATTTTTGCCCAAGAAAAAGTTCTACTGAGGTTTGTTACTGGATTTAATTTTAGCTTCTGAGGTCATTGTCTTCAGTGGGCTTTGTGTCATGTCTCCAATGCACCTGATTCTTGTCATGATATTAAGTATGAGCAGCACATTTCCCTTACTAGAAAATGTGTATATCTGAGTAAGGGTATAAGACAAGACTTCCTGGTGAACAAATGTACTCTAAAGTACTGGGCTTCCATGACAATATCTCTAGTAGGGTTTAAATGAAAAATGTCCAGTAAAGTGGTAATTTAAATAAAACATACACTCACTGTGTTTTTTGTCAACCAAAAGTTTTTCATTTTTAAAGAAGAGATCCGATAATCTTCATTTAAATCTGCAATTGCTATGAAGCAAAAACCCTTGAAAAAGTATTTAGCTCAAAATCAAGGAAACTAGATGACTTTATGTAAGGTTCACAAAGAAGACAGAAGAAAAATTCTTCTTATGGATTAATGATTAGAGAATGCACCATATTTGTAATATTAAATACTTCATCTGTTGATATTTACAAAACCAATTAAATACAGAAAAAGTTAATTACAGTAGTTATTCCATAAATTTCTCTAACATTTGACAGGATATTCCTGTCAAAGGGCATAGAACATCTATTTTTTTATCCACTGCATGGATAACAAATGCACGCTTATGAAAACTGCACCCGGATACCCAAGCAAATGAACTATTAAGGGGGACATATTCTTCATTTGACTAAAAACTTAATTGTGTTTAAAGTACATTTAAGTATTACATATAAATTAATTAATCATAATGAAATGAAAAATAATGCATCAGCACTTTCTCAACAAATTTTTAAAGAGGTGTGTAACAGCTTCGGTATAAACTTGGGTTCAGAACCTCTCTAGCCTTACTTTTTAAAAAGAATACACAACGTATATAGTACTCAGTAAATGTGACTATATATATTTAATCAATGCCCATATTTTACATATAGATTATGTATAGCACTCGTTTTTGTCAGGTGCTAAATCTTTAGCTACACTCATAAAACACGGTGCCACTATCTGATTTAAAAGATTAAAAGCTTTTAGGCTACTTTCCTGAAATAAAACATCTGAGAATACAACAGGAATAGCTTTAAATTTATAAAGATAAATCTTATAAAATCAATTTCCATTTCCACAAGGACAATCAAATATAATTTATACTGTATCTTACCTACAAGCAGAAAATATATTTTGCACTGTAAGTCCCAAAAGAAGTTGGCTAAGGGGCTCCATGAAAGCATCCTGTCCCACACAAATGCCACCTTCTCCTCAGCACTAAGCCAAGGCTTGGACCTGCAGCTGCTGGTTTATTTGCTAGGGAAATCAGCAATGAGTTAACAGGCCCTATCCTGTCCCCTGCCTTATGTGATTTGAATATGTGTATACAAAGAACAAAGGGAGTGGAGCACCTGTTAGATGAGCACCCATCTTCATTGCCTCTGACTTTATCATAACCCTTCCCTGGCAGTCACAGCAAATATGACACAGAATGTAATAAATGGGGCACACAATACAAAGTACATTTAATTAATAGAAGTAAGTAAATGCACCAAGTGTACAGGCTATATAGTTATTAACTTCCCTTAGTTATAGTTTCATAAAAAACACCCTGATGCGACACGCTTCTGCTTATTTCAAACTAGAATTAGTACTCAGAATATTTTTTTCAGATCTTTTCCAATTACAGCCCCTCCTTTTCTGTTCCAAAAAGTATTTAACAACTATTAAAGAGCCTCAATTTTTTTTCCTAGAACTTTTAAAGCCCATAAATTTTCTGTACTTTTTTTCCTTAACATAAGCATAACTCAACAAAGAGTTCACTCCCTTTTTCTAAACAGCACATGATGTCAAGTGTTTATCAGACATCTTCAAAATAAGAATCCTATGGCTAGAGTGGACAGCTTACTACAGTTGTTGAGCTAGCTGCTGATTATTGTTTGTTCTGCATTAACTTATATCAGCTTAAATTAATATTAATGTAGGATTTGGATTTTGTCCAAAGCTGTCACTTACCATACAAATCAGCAGCAAACCAGGCAAACCCTCCCAGACTTGTGCAGTAACACTTTATAACAGCAAATATTTGCAGCGACAGAGATGGTTTATCCATACAAGAACACACTATATTTTTCACTATACAGCACTTAGGCAGGCTATTATGGATTAACAAATATTAGGCTAGACTGTATCCTGCTTTGTGCATGAGGGACTGGCAGCAAAGAATTGTCTCCCCTCATTGTGTTCTAGGAGAAGGGATACAGCAAGGTGGTAAGTCCCCACCAAAAGGGCTGAACATTCAATTTTTACCTTGGTTAAAAGGAGGCAAAGCCACCCAGATCCTTCCAGGCCCAATGTAAGACACATAAGGGTTATTTCAGGCAAACAAAAACAGAATTACAGTGGTACCACCAGAAATAATATCGCCACCTGACATAAGCCAGGAGATGAAAAGGGTATTTCGCATATTCCCAAAGGCTTCCTGGGTCCATTGTCCTGGCCCTTCTGAATGTTGTTGTTTACAACGTGCTTAATCCACTTAACTGTACGCTAGCTATATCAAATCAAAACCTTTTATAAAACCTGAGTTAGAAATTACTACCTACTATATCAACAAGTATTAAAATATTGGTCACAGGTTCCAACTAATTTCTAACTGAAATGGGGGCTTTTGCATTGGCATAGAGCCTGTGATGGTGCTTTAAATGCCCCATGTGGGCAAAGAAAATTAAAAAATACTCAAAACCCCCCAGATTAGCAGTTGTTTTTCAAGTGTGTCTCATTTCCAGCATTTAAATTATTCTTGATGTCACTACTATGCTGCAAGTTTTTACACTGAATAACTCACACCAATGTACTGCATGCTAAAAATGCACATTATTTTTTCTACAGAATTCTAGCTTGTGCTAGTTAAATGGTATTTAGACTTTACACAAATCAAACCTCCTTCTTTTGAATAAAAGCAACTATGTTAAAGCAACAATATATGCTGTATTAGCGTTCTGAACACTTGTATTTCTGCAAATTTTATTACTAAGAAGTAAGTTCTTTATGTGCTACACTTGTTAGAGGTTTCCACAGAAATAATAACACATGATATACCTAATGGTGGCCAGAAGTAATGAATTCCTGCTAAAGCAAGCCGGGAGGGGACCATCTGTCCTGACTCTCCTTTTGACACTACGACATTTCAAAGACACCTGCTCTTACCTGACCTACCCTGCAACAACACACCGGCCAGATGGGGGATAACAACAGGATCGCGAAACCCATCCTGGGTTGACTTACGTGCACACTCCTAAAAACCCTAGAAGGAAAGACCACCTTTTCTGGAGGTACTACTGTGCTCTAGTGAATGTGGTGGTAGTTTTACTGTCGGATATTGTCTCCCGTTAAGCAAAGGCTGTAAGATAAATTCTTCCTTTTCTTGCACTGCTATACAGTAGATTTAAAAAGCTATCTGCTTTTTGTTTGTTTGCTTGTAGCTGATATCTACACAACCAAACAGAGACACAAGGCTGTTTCAGAGATGCAAAACTCCCTCATCCGTGACCAGGCCCGACGCACTTGTGCGTAACCCGAAATAACCCGCGGCAACCGGGAAATGCTCATTGTCTACGCGTACTTTTTGGTTTGTCTGCACGGACAAAAGACTCGTTTTGTCTTCTCAAGTAACTGCTGTCAAAGCCTAAAAAAGCGAGCCTCAATGTCCAAGCACTCCAGCAGCACACCCCAAAGCCCGGCCGCCCCCGCGCCCCGCCGGGAGAAGCCGCCCCAGCACTGCCGGCGGCCGGCAGTCCACCCGCGACGGAATAGACCGCCCACGCCCGAGCCCTTCCCGGGAGCCCTCCCGGCCTCCCGGCCGCGCTGCCGGGGGTTGTAGTCGGGCGGCGCCGCGGCCGAACTACAGGTCCCAGGGAGCCGCGGGCGGGCGCGGTCAGGTGGCGCCCAACATGGCTCCTCCGTGCCCCGGCGCCGCGCGGGGCCGCTGAGCGCTGTCGGGGGGCGGCGGGGCCATCATGCAGAAGATCAAGTCGCTGATGACCCGCCAGGTGAGCGGCTCTTCTAAGGGGGGTTTCTCCGCGGGGGTTCCGGGCTCTCCTCGGGGCCGCCGTGTCCGGGCCCCCTGGAAGGCCAGCGAGGCGCGGGCATCGCCCTCTGCCCGGCTGCCGGGGGAGGGAGGGCTTGGGGCGTGTGCGCTCTCTCTCGGGGCAGAGGCATCCACCTTGTTTTTCTCCTTACGCCGAGAAATGGAAGCAAGCGCAGGTGCCAGCGCGTAGCTGTGTCACACCAGACTAATCGGTGTTGGAGATGACAGGGCCGGCCTGTGTGATGTTCCCTTTTTGTCGTATTATTTTGGAGCGCTGGGCCGTGTTTCGGTAGCGTGGCTTTGTCTGACACCAAAAGCTTTCGGTCCAAGGGGAGGCGATGCTGTGGAGGTGCCGGGGACGTATTTGGATGGACACATATTGAATGTGTGCCAGAGCACTTGGTGTGTGCCTGTCACCCCGCTGCTGTGTACCAGTTGTACTAGTGATCTTTAGGGTTACGTAGATCTAAGCCTATGTTTGGACCAGTATTTCTAAGGTTGAGAGCCTTTTTAAAGAAGTGTATCAACAGAACATTTGATCATTCAGTAATACACTGAAAAGGTGCATATTGCAGCATAAAGTTGAAAACGCTTAGATGTTTGAGAAGCATAATTTATAGACCAATGGTCTTGCTTAAATGTTTCTAGAATGATGTTTTAGCCTTGCAGCCACGTCAGAGTATTTGTCAAAGGACCTACAGGTATCTATTCAGCCTCAGGTAAGACTTGTGCAGTTTGATTGCAAGATATGTAAAGTAATCAATCTTAACTGATTATTAAAATTCTCTTAAAGGGTTTAAGAAGTCCTCAGGAGAGTCTTAATGACCTCAGTCCTATTGAAAGCTTTCGAATTCCTACCAAGGTATGATACAACATCCCTCCACTCCCACGCCCTTCGTTTTTGTTTTTTCATTTTATAGTTTGATGACACTTAATTATGTCTTTTTTTTTATTAAACACAAGGTTTGCTGTTGTTCTTTTTGAGAGTTTTGTTTCGTGCTGAAAATATTTTATTTTATGACAGAACTACAAGCTGTGAGACAAACCAGTTCACCAACTCTGAATGAACTTGCATGAAAATTTCTTTCTTGAAACTTCTAATTTGTCCCTGGATGCTGATCTTAATATTATCTAGGTTTCTTGCTGGAGTGAATAAAAAAAAAAAAAAAGGAGAATGAAAAATGCCTTCTTTAATGTTTACTTTGGCAAGTAAATACTGTATGGGTAGCCTGTATAGTTCTGGTCTTGATATTTAGTCTCTTCATGGTTTTGGTGCGGTAAGTATATTTTGTAGTTTCATGGTTTTGATCTTCAGCATATATAATTAATCTCATGTTCTATTTTAAAAGTTGTATCTTTATTATAATAATAGCTTTTGGCATTTTGTGGGTCTCACTACTTAACTAGTGGCAGCTCCCTCTCATCTCACAATTCATGCTGAATAACCTGTGTGCCAGGGAACAATTGCCACAGTATTGACTGTTCCTTATACCCTTTTGATCTGAGTAGATGATTCACAAGACTTCTGTGGATTTAGTCTATTATTTTCCCCTAATTTGAGCTTTGCCTTTAACCAATAAGATATGTAAGTTACTGGCTTGAATTTGGATGGCCATTTTACAATTAAAAAAACAACCCAAAAGTCTGCTTGTATTTCTTTGCCTCTGTATAAGTACTGTGTAATGTGGTGCTTATGCTGAGGCCAACCAGAAATCAGTGTTACTGTATAGTTAAAAAATCAAGTGCGAATCTCTGAATTGGTACACTGTACTCTGTTAAACAGTGGCCAATAGATTGATACCAAAGAGCAAAAGTATTCAGTTGCAGCGATATTGAAAGAACTGTCTCATCTCCATGGCTTAGATTTCAGAATTGCAGATTCTTGCCACGCACTGAGCATCCAGTTTCAAACTGTGTTTTTTAACCAAGTTGACTCTCCGTGTAAAAGTAGATGCAGGGTATCTTGCTAGATTTCCCTTCTGTAATAGTTTAATGTTACATGTCTGGTAAGTCTCTGCTGTATATCAACAACAATGGGAAATCAAATACTTCTTAATAATTTGTATTTTTGTCATACATTTATGTCAAACATTTGCAGTGTGAAAAAATTATCTGCAGCTGTCCTGCAAACAGAAATCTGGGCCTGAAAAACCTAGATTGCATCAACGCTGGAACTTTTAATCTGATTACTTATTTTTTTAGAGTTGATAAAATTAAAGTGTTATTCTCTCCTGTGCAACAGAATAAAGCTTTTATATTTTTCAATCTTCTAATATTTAGGGTAGATTTAGATTGGATATTAGGAAGAAATTCTTTACTGTGAGGGTGGTGAGACACTGGAACAGGTTACCCAGAGAAGTTGCGGATTCTCCAATCCTGGTAGTGTTTAGGACAGGTTGGATGAGGCCCTGAGCAACCTGATCTAGTGAAAGCTGTCCCTGCCCATCGCAGGGGGTTGTACCTGGGTGATCTGTATGGTTCCTTCCAAGCCAAACCATTTTGTAATTCTATGATTATGTTTATTTCCTTCAAAAATGTATTAAGTGATTAGTTCTCAAAATAATAACCATATTCGGGATATACATTCTATATTTGGAATATACATTCTATATTTGGAATATAGATTCAGAGTTGCTTTTACGTCAAAAAGCTGTACTGAATGAAACTCTTATAAATAAAGCGATTATTTGATTATCTGGATGATGCTGTTAGTCATATGGTTTATATTCAGGTAGTCCTGCAAAGACCTGAGAATTGGACTTGATGATCCTTATGCGTCCCTTCCAACTTGAGCCATTCTATGATTCTGAGAGAATGATGAATAAAACTACTGTGTTTTGATCAGTTTAACTTCTGGCTAGGGTCCCAAGCCATTTGTCACAGTAACTTTACTTCCAGCCCATTTCTTTAAGAAGAAGGATTTACATTGTCATGCCTCCTTGGCTTTGTTAAAGCCTTTATTGTAGGATTTTACTTTTCAAGTGATGAGACATCAGATGAGGCACAGTAATGTGTTTCCTGTCACTGGGAGCATAGATTCAAAAATGCTGAAAACAGAAATTTTGAGGGCTGGGGAGAGGGAGATATCTCTGTTTGTGGTATGAGTAACTGTCAAGGAGATTAGATTTCCATACTGCATAGAAATTGAAAGTCGTTGAGCTTTTGGATATTGGTATTTATTTTGATCTAAAGCAGTATTCAGTGCCATGGCAACGTACTGATGTCACAAACCAGAATTGCATTGTAATTGTAGGATTGAGCAGCTTTGCTGGATATAATCTAATGCCTCTCAATAATTATTATATTTTAATGGACAGGTTTGGTAAAGAGAATTCACTTTTGAATGCAATAGTAAAGACTTAGGAAAAGGTGCAGATTTTTAAAGGCAATGACTAAAAGCATAACTTTGTACTGTTTCAAGCTGCTACTTGAACAAAAATGTTCTTTGCTGCCCTGTTTTTTAACTGTTTTTGTTTATACCTTGAATCATGAAAGTCTCAAGATGTTTTGATGACAGAATGGTTATGATGCTTTACTTTCATCGTCACACTTCCACATTCAAATTTGTAGCTCCAGATTGATTTAGGGGAAGTGTTACTGAAAGCTTCAAAAAACTGCATTAAAGCTATGGAGGGGTATGCAGAGTGAAAGGGCCAGCATGAATTACCGGAAAAAGCACAAGCCATTGATAGATGATGCTGATTCTGGGAACAAAACCATGTTTTTGAGATGAGGGACTGTCACACTAGTTTGAAGGTCAAATGGGAAATATGGAGCACAGGAAGAAGAACATGCTGACATTACGTCTCTTGATGGCAAACCCAGCAAAATTCCTTTGGGTGTTGATGTTTGAAAATTGTTATTTTGCTGACTGGTTGCTGGCCAGCATGTTGAATGAAGATTGTGCTTCTCAAGTTTTTATTTTTAAGGGGTGAAATTATTTGGTGCCTGGATATTTTACTGAGTGAATGCACTAACATTAACCAGTACTCCGATAAGTTCTGCAACTATCTTGAAAAAATTCAATTTGCTTCCATCACATAAAGCCAAGTCACTAGCAAACTTGCTTTGCTCTATGTTTTAATACAGACTCATACAACCAACTCACACAGAGAAGTATCTCTGTAATAGCAATTGTATCATAGTAAGATGTAAGTGTAAATTAGTTTAATTGTGTGTTAGTGTCTGCAGAGAAGTCAAATCTGAACTGCTGGGCTGGATATAACAGGTTGACCAGGGAAGCTGTGGATGCCCCATCGCTGAAGGTGCTCAAGGCCTGACTGGATAGGGCTCTGAGCAACTTCGTCTAGTGAATGATGGATTGGAATTAAATGGTCTCTGAGCTGTCCCTTCCAGTCCAAACCATTCTGTGATGATCCTATATCTAGAAGAGAAAGTTGTTAGCAGAAAGACTTAATATCTTTTTTGTCTGAGGTACCTTACTTCACTGTTATGCCTTGATCACCATGGCGAACTGTAATTCTTTTTGAACCATTCTGGAATTGTCAGCTTTGTTGTTTCCCAAGCTGATAACAGTTTTGTTTAGCAGATTCTGTCACAAAAGGGTGAGATAGGTATTTTGTATGCTTGAATTCAAGTGTGTGGGGTTCATGATGAGTTGACTTTGAATTAGATTACATTTATTTTTATCATTATCAGCTTTTGTATATATATGTATAATGTATACAGCATTTGTATATACAATATACAAATATCATTTGACTTTGTGGTTTATGGTAGTAAAGAACACCAAAAGTTTATTTCTTATTGCTTTTCTTATAGATAGAAGTGTGGATTTGTTAGTCTATGTGGGCTTCTATTTCCCAGCAGTACCTGAGTGCTTTAAAGGAGTCCATTAAGTGATGGTGTGGCTAATAGCTGTTCTATGGATCAGCTTTGTTGTTCTGGCCATCAGGAGAGCTGTTTTCACAGTTTGTTTTGGCTGAGTGAGAGCTTTTTAGTAAGTACTCTCTATATATACTGTAGGAGGAAAGATCAAAAGAAAGTTCTGGGCTTTTCATGTCAAAGGTAGGGAATACCTAAAACTTCCCTGTGGGATTGCCTTCCCACATGTGGGGGAAGGCAGGAGAGAAGGGAGGGAGAATAAAATGAGTTTATGTATATGGTTATATATGTATTGGAGAACACATATTTTATACCTATGTATCTCTATCTTTGTATATAGATAAAATGAAAAGATTTGGTTTGCATATATATGTATATAAATACTTTTTTACATTTTTTCTAATTCCTAGTGGTAGGATGTTGCAATACACCTGCTGATTGAATCTGTTGAGCAGGGCCCTCCTCCTGGTATTAAGGATTAGCTTTTAACATAAGTATTATTCCTGTTCAAAATGGAAGGATATAAACCTACACCATATTCATTGGTGTGTTCTTGTCTCTTGACAAAGAGAAGGAGGCTGTGTCCAAGTGAATATAGCACAGACTTGGCCCCTGGCACTCTCTGGGCAGAGGTGCATAGGCTGTTTCTGAACTTCAGCTTCTAATTAGATTATAATTTTTTTTTTTTTAATCTGAGTAGTATCGGTTGCCTTTTTTCACTTTCCAAGTCTTTTAGTTGATAGTGACTGGAATGAAGAAGGTGTTTGCTTCGACTCCCTACCAGTAATGCTTCATTCAACAAAGCAATATTGTTTTTGCTGTCACAGGCAGCATAGAATACAAGGAGAGTGGGAGTGTGACGCACTGGGAAGTAGCTGGGTAGTCATCAGAAACTTGCTGAACTGCATTTCAGATGAGTCTGCAATGAGATGACTCTTCTGAAATATATTTCAAGGAATTGCCACAGGCCCCTAGATTGTGAACTTCTATTTCTGTGCAACAGGAAGGCAAAATGATGTGAGAAGAGTGTGGATACAAGCATGGTGTTTTATTTAGCAATGCCTTCTTCAAGTATATAATCAAACTGATGGGTGGGCTCAGTTCCGCGCACACTGTGTCTCACCTAAAAAAATCCAATGCGCAGGCTGGAAGGTGGAAAGACCTTCCCCGGTTCTTCGTTCGCGAAGAGACTGGCCATTATTATTAATCAAACTGATAGGGTTTTTCTCTTTTCTTTCTCTCCCCTGAAGCTGTCTTTCACTGATCTATTTAGGGGTCATTATGAAGAGACCTGCTGCTGAGGGTTGTACTGATGGCAACCTGACGGATAAATTGTATTCCCATGAAAGTATGATCCAAAGTACTTGGGGGGAAAAAAGCACAGTTGGCATCACAAGTGACACAAGTTTTACGCAGGAGGTGAAGCCTCCTGCTGAAGAAAACTTTGGAAAAGGAGTGGCCCGTGACACAGCTTCTTAAATGGCTGTTGGCCCTTTATTGCCAGCTGCTGAATGTGTGTATTAACCTGGGCAGGTGGACTGAAGTGACTACTGTGGGGTCCACCTTGCCAATATGCTGCTTGTCCTCATCTCCTATATATCTAATTGATTCAGTTTCTGCAGAGTTCTCTGCATGATTATTATTATATGATTCCCTCTGTTGCAATTTTTAAAATTCAGAATAGCACTTGGAATTGCTGAATTAACATAGAATTTACTATCAAGTATGTTTTAATGATGACTTTATTTAAAAAGGCAGGTACTTAAGTGGCAACAGTTAAAGGTTTTGAGGTAAAAAAATACATTGAGGGATTCAATAGCACTTCCTTCTTTCCTTCTGCAAAGTGTGTGAGTACAAGCTCCACAGTGCTAAATCTGGCCTTTGCTGGGGCCCCTGAAACGATGGGCTTATTTATATATAATAAAATTGTTTTGTATATCTAATTGAAGGGATGAGAAAAATTGAATATCAGCAAATAAACTGTAGCCAAGGATGGTTGCTTCCTTCAGTGGTGAGTCAATACATTGGCCTTCAGCATATTAGTTCCTTGAAACTAATGGAATGTAATGTATTGGAAGGTGCAGATTATCATGGCATAAAGTCTGGTGGAAGACAGTGTAATTTATATGGGAGCTAAAGCTTATCCTGGAGAGTTATCTCATTAGACTGCTTTTGTAAAAAAATATACAATATAAGGAAAGACCTTGTCCATTTAAAATGTATTTTCCGGAGTAGTATTTTGGCAAGAAACATGAACAGTCTTTCTAAAGCAGGATAAAATGCTTTCTTAGCAATTGTCCTAGTCAGCTTTATGTTTGTGTCAGCATCAGCTTTATGTTTGTGTTTTGAGCTGTGGTGTTCTGTGACAGCAAAAAGGTCATTGATAAGGCTTCATTGAAATGCTAGTGTTAAAAACACCCCTCCAATTCATTACCACATTCCAAATCCAGAATATGTGTCCACAATGGCTTTCTTAATGCATCTTTATCAGATGTCAGTTACCTTTGACCTATGCATTGACTTATTGTTTCACCAATATGAAAAGATATCAATGGTACAGATTTTAAATGATCCTAATGATTTCTCCTTGGGTTTAGTTTTTCATCTTTTTTCTTTTAGCAAACAGCAATGCAAGAACTTGTAGGCAAATATCAGATGATAAATTGGATGATTCAATTTGCAATGATTCTGTGGCCCCTGTTTTCTTTCTTGGATAATTTCTAATTTTAGTTTCATACAGCTAAAACTAAATGTACTGTAAGATGTAAAACTGATTTATAGAGGGATGTACAGTATAAAGCCACGATTTGTTAAGGAGCCCAGAGGGAAATAATATTTGTTTGTTTTAAGGGATAGGAATGCGTATGGTTAGTTGATAGCTTCATTGCTTCCTAAATTAAATTAATGCAAAAGTGGTATCCCATTGAGTCTGAATGTGTGTGTCCTCTGCCAATCCTTGTGCCGTCATGTGAGGGAAACTTCAAACCGTAGATTAAAAAGTTGAAACAGACTCTAAAAGGACTATTTGTCAAAAATCTTTTTGCTCTCATCCCTAACCAGCCCTCCTCTCCTCTGTTTCTCATGATCTTGGTAAAGCCGAAACACGAGGTGGGAAGGTGTTACTGCTGGGTGAATTGTGTGGCGGGCGCTGAAGGGACAGTCCTGGCTGCCTGGAGTCCTGGCTGTCTCCTTGGTGTCAGTGTGGATCTGCAGGCGCTTCCCTGCCGGCTTCCTACAAACTTGAGTTGGCACCTTCTGCCGTCAGTGGCCGGAGCTGACCCATCTTTTGCTTTCGTCTTGGCAAGACGCTGTTGTGGCTCGTGGCGCTCGGGACGTGCTCACTAAGAGCAGGTCCACACTCCAAACGTGTCCTAAGAGTTGGTCTAAAAACAGGCATCAGTTTCCTTTGATATTGTTATTTACTGTTGTTATATATATAGTTATTGATCTGTATTATTTAGTTGTTTCTCTCGGTCTGTGGTGCAGTCCACCTGCTGCCGGTGCGCGCTGTTGGAAGGCAGGTCGCTGCGTTCACCTCCTCTGGTGGCAGTGACTGCATCAGGCGTTTCAGACGAGATCAGAGCCTCCTGGGGCTGCCCGGGAGAGGAAGAAGGTGGCTCCGAGGGCTTTTCTCCGAGTTACCCGGTTCCCATCGGGGCTTGAAGCCGCCCTTCCATCTGCGGCCTCGCCCGCGGCCCAGCGGGTGGCGCCCGAGCACCGCCCGCTCCTTCAGCCTCGGCTGCGGCCGCTCGGGATCGCGAAATCCGCTGGAAATCTTTTTTAATGTGTATCAGAGCCGCTGCTTTTTGTCTTCCCTCCTTTTATTTACTCTTATTTTTTTTTTCTTTCCCCTCTCTTTTTTTCCGGTGAGAGGTATTTCTCAGGAGCAGCGGCTCCTTCTGATGCTCTTCCAAACCATCCACTCCTCACCCCTTGGCTGCCTTCAGCTGTGTAGAAAAACAGCACCTTGCTTGCATTTTAAGTGTCACTTTGCCTCATAGCATGTATGCATTGACCTTGTTTCAGTTGATGTGCAAAAGAAGCAAGTTAGTGGTTGTTTAGTCAGTTAATCTAAAATTTGATACCTCTAGCTGATGAAATAAGCCCTTGAGCTCTTGGTGGTGAAAATATGGGCACCTTGTCCCACTGTAACAACCCAGCATTGTTGGGAGGCTCAGGGTCATTATGGGACTCTTCAGTCCTCTGGATTGGTTCACCAGGGTTTAATTCCAATATCAAGGAATTTTATCCATTTAATCTTTATTTTTGATGGAAGAATTTCCTTGCACTTCTCCCTTTAGAGTGTCTGATGAGGGATTATTCATTCCTTTGATGGGAACAACATCTGGGAGAGGACCAGTATTAGTTACAATGTCTAGTACAGCAGGGGGAGGCTCAGTTCTTGGTTTGCTACCCACTGGTAGCAGCTGAGTCATTGAAAAGATCGAGGGGACATCATGACAGCGAGGAGGGGAATGCTTACCTCTTGAGTATTAGCTTTTACAAAGCTGACAGCACATTTCTGCATAGACCACTGTGCTAAAATCTGAGAGCGGTTTAATGCTGTGCAAAGAAGGCAGGTCTGTTCTAGGTTTACCTGTAAAAAATTCCAGTGTTTAATGATGTGACTTTTATTTCAGTGAATTGTGAGGGCTGAATTGGACAGTTACACATTTGTAGTGTCACTGCTTACCTTACATTTGCAAAGAGGATTCCTCTGATTTTAAAAATTCAGGTTTTCTTTTTTTGGTTTTGCTTTTTTTTTTTTTTTTTCCCATTCTGAGAAATAGCCTACCAGTTTATTTTTAGTTTATTATGACAATTTCTAAACTTCAGGAGGAAAAATCTGTGGACTCAACATGCATTTGTGTCATAAATGTATTAATGAAGAAGTGTTTAAGTGAGCTGCAGTGTTGAAATCTGTACTATGTATTTTGAAATGTTTTGGATATCTTGCTGTCCCTAATGGGAAGAACAAGCCACAGCATACTCATCTTTCTGTTTTTTTTGCCATTGCTTCTTGTGCTAATGTTGTAAATGGAAAGATTTTTGATCCGTTAAAATATTGTTTTTGTTAGGGTGTGTTATTACATTATGGAAATACTTTTTTGTTTTGTGCAGGAGGAGCTCAGAGAACTACATGAAGAACCAACTGATCCTCAGGCACAGCAGGAAATAATTAACAGCATTGAAGAAGTTTATTTTTCCAATGATTCCTTTGATATTGTGAAGTATGAGTTAGAGGTAAGCTTTTCTCTGCTTCAGAGAAAGGACAACAGCATAATAAAAAATGAAGATCAAAAATATACTTATTTCAATGAGCTATTTTTTGATTTGTTTCTTATAGGTTGTATGAATATGGAATTACCTTTCTATGTCATGTTGCAGTTCTAACGTAAAGTATTGGTGTAGTCTCTTTTAATGTGGTAGCATTAATATCAGTTGTGCTAACAGGCACTTCATAACTTAAACTATAGTGAAAAACCAAAATAGTTCAGGAAAAAAAAAAGTCCATTATATATTTTGTGTATTTTGTTTTAGCAAACTAACTGAGACATAATAATTTCTGTGTTGGGGGGAGTTGTGTGTGTGTATATATGGCTTAAAATAAAGTAACTTTGAGGTAATTACGATATACATTGTATATCTTACCACTAATTGATTTCAGTATCCGTCATTTGAAATAATGGATTAATTCTGCAAATTAAATTGCAAAAGCAATAAGCATGTTTCTTTAATGAAATTGATTGCGTAGTTAAGACTACATGTGATTTAATGTCCTTTAATTTCTTACTGAATTTAATTCATTGTTTGTATGCAGAGGCTTCCTCCAGTACTAAGTCTTCAAGAACTGGAAGAGTACAGAGACAAATTAAAACAACAGCAAGCTGCTGTAAGTAAAGTTGTTTCTTCTGTAACCTCATGCAATTTGTGTATTGTCTATAAGTCTAGCAAGAAGTGTAACTGAAAAGGTTTTGGTTTCTTAAACACTTTAGTTATGCAGTTTTTAAAAAATATTATATTGTGTGTCTTTATAGTGGAAAATCATCACTACCTCATATAATCATTTGAAATTATGGAAGTAAGTCTTAGTGATAAGTATAGTAAGGAGCAAATGTTCTAACTATTTCTTTAGAAACTTGATTTTCTGAATGTTTGTCTTTTTACGTTTGTTATAAGAAAAGTAATGTTCAACACAGTACTGAATGGTACAGTAGTATCTCTTTTTTGAGGGATTTCTAGCAACGTAAGACATAAAATGTTTTGAAAACTGTCTCCTTGGAGATGCGATTTTCTCTTACTTTTCATTTGCCAATTTTTTAATTGTCCACAAGGGTTTCTAGTGAATACTGGTACGGAGTTATTACATAATAAACTGAATGGAATGTTATGAGTAGTAACTATAATGAATGAGGAGAAGTCGAAGCTGCAGTTTTTGAAAGGTACTTGTTATATTCCTGGCTTTTTAATTTTCTGTTCATACGTTAGTTGTTATTGCATTGCTCTTTTAAGATGAATAATATGGTACAGGAAACAAATGTATTATCTGTGGCATTTGGAGAATATCTGCAAGTGATTTGTTTCTGCAAGTTTGTTTGTTTCTTTTTTTAAGTTTAAGGAAACATCTGGTGATTTTGAAAGGAAATGCTCTCAAGACTGAGACAACTTCATTGAGATGTGCAGGCTAACCCCAATACGTGTTATCAATGTCTTGACCATTTTTGCTTTCAGGATGGGAAACAGTTGCAGCCAGGGGAATAGTTTCAGGGCTTGGTTGCTGCTGAAACATTTAAACTGCAAAGTGCATGCAGCTAATGAATAACAGGGGTGAGAACTGAACGTAAGGTTTCTAGTAAATATTGCCCAAACAGGTAAAACAGGTAAAAGGCAAAACTTTTGACAAGAAACATGCGCCCAGTTCTTTCCCACCACCTCCCCAGTCAGGATTGGTCCTTTCTTGTTTCTTCCTTAATCTAGTCAAAATGTGTTTCTACTATAGGAAGGAATTGTTGCTTGGTTGTTTTCTTTCTTGAGCATGTGCCAAGGTGCTAAAATTTCTTATATGCTGTATTTCATGTCCTTGTATCATATTTCCAGGTGGGGTGTGAGGGACTGTTACATGTTTTCTTCTTCTGTCTCAATTACTGTCCATTTATCTTGTGATAGGTCATTTAGGCTACTGTCTGCTTTAAAGGAGCTTAGTGTCCTCCATGGAAGACAGTACTACAGAGTATTGTATGTTGTTAGTTCACTCCTCAAAATATTTTAATGGGGATTTGAAAAAATTATGAGGTAGAGGACTCAAGAAGTCTGTTGACATATCACACAATACCACTGCTTTTGAAAAAGACTAAATACTGCCTTTTTCACCTCAGTATCTGTACCTATAGGTAGCATAGGAATTTACAACAGTGGTTTAGACATAATACCAACTTCTAAACTTCTCTTGCACAGAACACTCATATGAGTGTGAATTGCAGGTACTAGAGCTCTAATCTTCCACTTCTCACTGACTGTTACCATCTGCTTTTGCACAGTTGATCTTAGTCGTGCCTTTGTTTTTAGAGTCACTACAGACCCGTATTTTCCGTAGTTTGCTCATTGGTTTTTCATTCCACTGAATAGATTCCAGCTCACTGAAACCTTTTTTAATGTATGTATCATGACAACTTTAATTTGTAATCACCTCACTGTGGACAATTAGAAGGCTTTTTGAGTTGTATGTCTGCTAGACTTCATACTTCATTGTAATTAGGAGGCTAATATCCTCAGCTGTGTTGTTTTTTCTTCAGGAGATGAATTATTTTTTGCTGATGTGTTTAGGAAAGAATCAATTGGTCCCGTGAGAAAACGCTGTTGGCATGCATTGATAACTGTGGTGGTCACATTCATTGTTAGCAACTGCAGTTCAGGATCCCAGGACTTGACACAGCGCAATAGTATGGAAGATGCCCAAAAGGGTGGGACAGTTTGGAAATCTTTAAGTTCTGGGAAAGAAAAAAAATGCCTGTGACAGGTGCTTGACAGTGTTGAGGTTGTTATTAGTCAAGGGTAATGGACAACTTGCAAAACAAAAAGTGTGTAAAAACTGAAAATGAAATGTATCTCTTATTCACTTGTACTGCTTTAACAGTGAAGAATCAAACTGTTAGATTTGTACTAGAGCAACGCATGACTAGCATGTATATCCATGTCCTGAAGTTTCTTACAGGTACAGGGATAGAATGAAGAATGTGTTTGAAAAAGGAGGTGAAAATTTCACAGGGCATAGATTGTGCAGTGAACAAAACTTCTTAAGAAGTTCCAAGGTCGTGTAGGTTTGTGTGGCAGTTGGCCTGATAACATCCTTTCCTGACCACACCGCATTCTGGAGTGGTTCTTTTGCTGTCCTGCAAGAGGAACATTTTATTAATTGTAGAACTGTTGAGAGGTTTTAAGAACAAGCAAGAAGTTTTAAAATTGTTTTTTGATTCTGACCTGCTTTTAATATGGAAGGAAGAAAGCATAGCTAGGTATATGCCACTTTTCCAGATTGCCAGCTGATGATACTGGAATACTTTGAAGACCATTTTAATGCAAATGTTCTTCCGGAGGATGGGAATTTATCTGGTGGAGCTAATACGAGTTTGTTATAGGAATCCTTATTGAAGATCTCAACTTTATGCTATGTTTGACTAAGCAGGCAGGTGCAGAAAAACCTCATTTTCTGTCTTTGCCAGTGGTGCCTCGTGGGCTGGCTGTCAGACAGTTTTATTTTATTTTTGTTTCTGGGAGTATTGTTCCTTTGGAAAAATATAGAACAATACCAATAATTTCTTTGTCATGTTTGAAACCATTTCTTCTTAAATATTTGTAGTCCCTGCTGAAAAACAAAACAAAACAAAACAAAACACACTGTTCTCAAGCTTGCATTTATAAGACTGTTAGTGTTGTATTTATTTTTAAGCTTCTGTGTTTGTGCACAAGAAGTTGATTAAGGTAGCAATGCCTATTTTTAAAATTCAGTACAGACAGCAGCTCTGAGTAGCATTTCACTTACTGTTACTTCAGAACAATGGGGAAATTTTTTAAATATGAATATTCTGTGTGCTAAAGAAAGGGCATAATGTGCACAGGGTGAATATTCATTTTGACACAGATTTAATTTAATACAATATCAGTCTGCAAGGTAGGCTTTATGGCTTTCTTAGATCTCTATGTATCATGGTTTAACTCCAGCTGGCAATGAAGTACCCTGCAGCCACTCACTCATTTCTTCACCAGTGGGATGGGGGGCAGAATGGGAGGAGAAAACTCATGGGTTGAGATAAAGGTAGATAATGCAAAAAAAATAGCTGAAAAGTAGGTAAAGCAAAAGCAAGTGAAGCCAAACAAGGAATTAATTCACTGCTTCCCATGGTCATGGAGGTGTTCAGCCATCTCTAGTAAAGCAGGGCTCTATTACGTGTAACAGTTATTTGGAAAGACAGATGCCATCATTCTGAATATGCTTCCTTTCCTTCCTCTCCCTGCAGCTTTACATGCTGAGCATGTCACCGTATGGTCACGCAGAGGTCATGGTATTGACCCTGTATCCCTTAGGTCAATGGGGGTCAGCTATCCCAGCTATGATCCCTCCCAGCAAATTGTGCACCCCCTGCCCACTCACTGGTGAGGTGGTACGAGTAGAAGAGGCCTTGATTCTGTGCAAGCACTGCTCAGCTAGGACTTCTCTGTTATCAGCATTGTTTGCAGTGCAAGTCCAAAACAGCCCCATACCACAACTGTGGAGAAAATTAACTCCAGCTCAGCCCAAACCAGCACACCTTGGTAGATGGTTAACTTAAATTTGTACTCTAGTAGTAGCATGAGCAGAATATACTTGCACTGTCCCAAATTATTTCTGCTTTCTATTCTAGCATGTTCCTTAACAAACAGAGTTAAGGGATTAGTTTAAAAATGCCCACTAATCCCTAGATGGGATGGTGAACATTTTTCTTATCTTGCTTCTAAGGAAAGTTCATCATAATTTTTATGATTTTTTTATGTTGTTGTGGAATATTTATTAATAAATTTGAAAAATGCAGAAATAAACTATAGAGAAGCACCAACTTGTAGAACTTTAGTATGGGGATGGCCTGCTTAATTGAGATTGCTATAAATTACATGGAATGTTCTTCTTTTTAAGGTATCTAAAAAAGTTGCAGACTTGATCCTTGAAAAACAGCCTGCATATGTTGAGGTAAGACAATGAACAGTTACTTTTTAAGAGTAAACTGCTCAATTTTGTGATGTTATAATGCTGCACTTGTTTCATTGGGGATTAATACAGTCATCTCTTAGTAGGGATGCTGGTGCCTGGTTGGAACCAACTGTTTATGCATGCTAAACTTCTGTCTCTATAGTGAAAAGAACCAAGGGCATATTGAGCTGGAAGTCTTTAGGATGATAAATGTTTTGGCATATGGACATTTTTAAGAAGGCTTTCTGAAAACATAAATTCACAAGCTTGATTGTGATTTAGGAATTGAATATTAGGAAGAAATTCTTTACGGAGAGGATAATCAGACACTGGAATGGGCTGCCCAGGGAGGTGGTGGATTCTCCATCCCTGGAGGTTTTTTAGAAGAGACTGGATGTGGCACTTAATGCCATGGTCTAGTAACTGTGGTGGTAGTGGATCAAGGTTGGACTTGATGACCTCAGAGGTCCTTTCCAGCCTGGCTGAGTCTATGATTCTATGATTAATACCTGTAGTGGACTTGGATTAGGAGCTGCTTTAGTTCCTGTGCTTAGGAATGGTTTCACACTTTATTCCATACAAGAAAACAGCAATCATCTTTCTTAAGATCTTCTAACTGGAAGCCAGCCACTAATCTTGGGCAGTTGTGAGAAGGAAGCATGTAAGAGACGACAGAGCTGGAAATAGAGTCTCACCATGTCAGAGATCTCTTAAGAGCAAAACAAAGCAAAACTGCTTCAGCTGCTTGCAGTAGAATGTTGGCATGGCTTCTCGTCTTCCTCCCAAAACATATTTGCAACAGCTGTCATAATGATTCTCTAAAAAGAAGATTTTTTTTTTTTCTACTCATTTATTCTTCATACTGTTCTTATAACATGTGGTCAGCACTGCCTGATTTTGTGTGATTGTTCCAGGAAACAACATGGAGAATTCTGCAAAGTGGAAAATAGTGATGTTATCAAGTTAGTCTGAGAATTATCGTGTGATGAATAATTCTGTGTGTGTACAGCACCTTTTGTCACCATTGTCAGACCAGTGATTATGGCAACTCACATTTTGGTTAAGAAGCTGTAAAGAGTGTGGGAGAGCAATGATGGCTTGTACTTCTGGATGCATAACCCATGATAGATGTCATGGAGCTGCAATTTTTTTCCTCTTTCATCCTGAGGGCACAACATTCTCTTCTCCTCACTTGTGCTTATGGCCTGTGCATCCAGCCTTACTGACCCTGCCATCTGTGCTCTGGCATTTCACTGGATGAAAGGAAGAGTGCTGCTGTTTAAAGAAATAAATGTGGGCGATTGGGCAATAGGTGGTGGAAGAAAAAAGCTGTAACAAGCTGTAACAGTAATGTTGTTTCAGTTTTAGTTAAAAGAGTCAGTTGGGGAGGCTATTGTAGAAAGAGGCTGGTAAGTGCTGCAGTGGTTGACACTTCACAGGATAGTGTAGAGGGGGGTAATTGTATGGTATAAAAACCTTCTGGTATTATTCCACTGTCGCACATGTTTGAAATTGATAGTTTTGAGTGAGTGCTGCTTTTCTGAATCCAGCAGCTTCACTTTGAAAACCTCCTCTCACTACGTAATAGTACTGCAGCAAATGTGCTTCTTGCATTTTGCTGTGTAATGTTAATGTTCTTATCGCAGCAACATTTTAGTAAGGTGCACATTTTATATCAAGAAGTGCTTTCAGATGTTCCAATGGGATAGTTAAAAATCCATTGTGCCAGTAAGAATCTTTTAAAAACATTTCTTAAATGCATACTTGCCTGATTAAGTCAGTAATGGCATCTCCAGTTCAGTGTCCAATTACAGTAGCAGGTCATTAAAATAACAAAAATGCAGTTGACTCTGTCTCCTGGACACACTTTCACTGTGCAAAGTAAAGTTTAGGGATATCATGATTTGCACCCCATTTCTAGTATGAAGTACTTGTCTAACAGGCACTACTATGGGCTAACAGAGGCACAGCACAGACACAGGGCAGGGGATTTATAATTTTCCCTTCTCCTTGAAAGGAAAGGCATGCTTTAGGAACAGTGGGTGGAATACTGTCTTTGAGAAGAGAAAAAATTTATTCAGCCCTAAATGCTGGGAAGAAGACTCTCTCCCTGGGAACTTTAGGCTCTACTCTTTCCTTGTGCCTCTTCATCCAGTCACGTTCAAAGGAGAGATTTTATATAATCTTTGCAAGTGGCAAGACAGGAGTGGAGTTGCTCCTTATTGTATGTGTTCTCTCATGAAAAAGGGAGTAAAAGGCTTTTGAATAACTCTCATATTTTCAAAGTATGTTTTTAGTAGGTACTGATGAAAGTAATATTTGAATTTGGTTTCTTAAGATATTTTGTGTATCATCAGCTAAGCTGTCATTTTTACAAAAGCAACATTGGTAACATAAAGGAGCTGCTTTTGGTGAACAGTGCAGCTTAGTGATTTGGAGACTGACCAGGAGCTGATTTGGAACTGAACTAAACTTTGAACTTGTTTTTGCTTGTCATATCTTTAGAATTAGTTTGGTTTTCAAAGTGAAAGTCTCCCTTCTTCTCACAGAAAGCACTTGATATGTTTTGAAATGATGAACAGAATTTAAAAAAAAATTCTCATTTTCTGTAGAGTGGGGAAAGCATTTACTTTGCTACAGTACTGTTCCTAACAAAAGAAATCCTAATAGTTATCCTAAAACAAGGAGTTGAGATTATGTTAGGTACTTCAGTAAGTCAAAAATCAAGCTAAATTCAGGTCAACTCTGCTGAAGAGTTTTCAGCTGAAATTCAACAGGATACAATTAACATTCATTATGAAGTGACATCTATTAAATTGGTAGAACACAAGTGCTTCTAAACAAGAAAATGCTGTGTGAAACATGATTTGTTTTCCCCCCACTCTCTGGCATATTAATTAAGTCCTGTGTTTCTGTCCTGAAGCTCTGATTATTCTGTTGTAATGCACTAATGGTTCAGAGATTCTTAGGCTAAATATATAATATATAAATATGGATGGTCCCACTGCAATGAAAATGGATTTCAAATATCTGTCTTCAAAAGAGAGTTGTATTTTAAAAGACAGTTTTTATTAATGTTACATTGCAATGCTTAGCATGTATTAAATGATGAAACAAATAATATATACAGCAACTCTACAAAGTCTGTATAACATCTCAAGAGAAATCCACTAATCACTAGTCTTCACTGGTGTGTAGCACAACTTTAACTTGTATATTTATTCAACCTATTGTCTCTCTGTAGGAACTTGAACGTGTTACATCATTGCAGACCGGCCTTCAGTTAGCAGCTGTTATTTGCACAAATGGAAGAAGGTATCTTGCTTAAGTAACTGCAGAGATTGAAAGGGTGGAAGAGTATTTCAGAGAAAATCTGTAAACCCAGGAAATTTGCTTGTTGATGATATTTCCAGTCTATGTGCTGAATGCTATTAGTAGTTAAAAGATACTAAAACAATTGCAAATGTTGCAGCTCTCACTTTTGCAACTGGGAGTTCTCTTTAAAACAGGAAGGTGTTGAGATACACCATTGATCCACAGAAAATTGCAGAAGGGAGGATGTACCTTCTTAATAGTCTGTTGATATCTCGTTTTCTGAATTTCCTTAACAATGCTGACAATCTTATTTTCTAGCATGTATTTTGATGGACATGTTAGAGTTGATTAGAAGTAAGTTTCGTTTTATGAATTTGTTGAAGATTATATTAATTTTGTAACTTTTGCAGACACCTGAATATAGCAAAGGAAGGCTTCACACAAACTAGTCTGGGGCTTCTTGCCAATCAGAGGAAGCGACAGTTGCTTATTGGACTGCTGAAGTCTCTGAGAACAATAAAAACACTGGTACATGTTGTTATTTTTTTTCAGTGGCAAATATTTTTCTTATTTTCTGTGTAGTTATTGTTCTTTGGTTTTTGTTTCCTTTTTTTAGCAAAGAACTGATGTGCGTTTGAGCGAGATGTTGGAGGTAAGTCCCTGCCAGACTGGTTAAATTTGAAGCTATTTTAAGTCTACTTTTGTCCCTTCCCTTCCTCTTGCAAACAGACTGTGGCTGTGGTTTTTTTTTTTTTTTCAAATGTTGTGCAAAATCTTCATATCCAATTAGATCGCCCCTCTGCCAGGGGGGAGTATTTTTTGTCAAAACCTCAATCCTACCTTTAGATCTGAGGCTTGAGTTAGTTCAGTAAAAACGCTTTGGAGTCTTCGCTCTCCTCACTGCCCTCAACTTACACTTTTTTTCTGGTTTTAACTTGATAGTTGGGAAAAACAGAAGGTGAGATTTAGCTGCTTGTTGGTATGCTGTGTCTGGATAAAGTACTTCTACTAGTATATTACTGTACAGATTTATAGAGGGGCTCTAAATTATTTGTATTCTATTACTAAAATAGTATTTTTGTAAGTGTAGTAGCTTCTCTCCTTATTCCTTGGGTTGGCCTTTTAATAGTCACTTGTAGAAAACATTGCAGCATGCAGGTCATGACACTGCAGATTCTGATACTGTTGTAAATACTGCCTAAAAATGCAGTAGATACTGCACAGAGCAAAATAAGATCTTGTCTTAGGGTGATTAATTGTATGAAAGACAATTTCAGGATTTTATTGACAACTATGTTTTAATCATAGTTCATGGATTTACAGCTAATACTGTATGGAATATCATGATGATAATCCCTAGTTAGTAAATTTGGAAATTGAATTTTATTGGCTGTAACTTTTAAGAATCCTTGAGTTTAATTCCGTCTAGAGTAAATCCCCTTGTGTCAGCAAACTTCCTTATTCTGTACCAAGCAGGAATGTACTCATTTTCAGGTGGCATAAATGTTACCTTCTGCTCATTAAGCCTTAAACAATGATTAGCTTTTAATGTCTGTGCTGTACTTTGTCACACAGGAAATCAACACTTCCAAGTCTACTAGTAGGAGTTGTCTTGAGACAGAGGTGTGGGTGTTGCATTCACACACAGACCCTAATGTTTGATTATTGTAATCCATCAGTGATTTTTAAGGGCTGGGACTGCTGTTTCTAGCTGAGTGAAGTTTTAGTGCTGTGCTCAATGTCTACTCCCAATACGTTATCCCAGATATTGACCAGTTTGTACTCCAAGAAGTTAGTAATGGAATACGCATGAGAGCTGTTAGTAGCCTTTCACAGAAGAGGAGTTGGAAAAGCCAGAAATGAAGCTCTAATAGCTTATAGGGTTGAGCTGCATCTGGAATACATTAGTAAAATACCTTATGCAAACAGGCTTTCTGATTTGAGCTCTGTTAGACTTAATGGAACAAATACCAGGTTTCCAATGGAGAAAGATGCAAAGACGTGTAAATGCAGCAATCATTTTGGACCAATGTACTGTTCTGTTTTCATCTAATGGATAATGTATTTGGGGTTTTTTTGTGTATTTTTTTCAGCAAAACTTGATCTGCATTAGAATACTGCTGTTAAAACCAATTTCATTTCAGAACCTCCTTTATGATAATAGCTGAATATAAATTGCCCTTGCGTTTCTACTCTTCAGTCAATGACTGAAATTCCAGTAACAGCTTTGTATTTGAACTCTCTTAAGTATATATTACAGCTGATGTAATTATGGCAAAAAAGGGAAGCTCTTAGCTATTAAAGAGGGTTTTCCTTTCTCCAAGACTCCTTCTGGTCTCATGTCTAATAGAATACAAAAATAGTAGGTATACCCAAGGCACTGTCCATGTTCTGATGGCAAGATCCTGGGGTTTTACATTTTTGTGTCTATGGGGTTTTTTGTTTTTTGTCCTGACATCTTCATATACTTCCTGATTCATCTGTCTACTGATTTGATATTCTTTTTATAAATGATGACAGTGTGCCCATGTTTTTGTTCTAAAGTATGTTCTTTTTGTCCTGAGGCCTTGTGTGGTCTGAGGCCACTTGTATTTAAAATAATTTCTAATAAGCTATAGGATGTGTCAATTTAAATAGTGTTTATTTGGACGTAATGTTAGGAGTGTCTTCCTTGTCTCTTTTTAGGTTTTGTAACCTAAAGCTGCCAGTGTCTGAACTTGCCTCTTTCCATGCTCATAAATAGATCATACTGTATTAACAAAGGTTTGAAAGATGTTTAACTGGGAAGATGTTTGTTGTTTTGTAATAAAAATTTTCCGATGTATTTTTTATGAATACAAAAGGAAACAATACAGCAAGTTGTTTGCATAAGGTAATGTAATACATAGTGTTTTCAGATGTTGCTAATATCTATTTCTAGTTCTAAACTACTTGCATATGAAGTGCTGCAATAGACCCTCACTCTCTTCCTTTAATTTACTGTATAGACATGAGGCAAAATATTTTATTCTTAATTCATAATTATGCAAGCAAAAATGGGTGTTGCACCGTTGCTTCAAATGAGCTTTCAATTGTATTTTCTCCTAAGGAAGAGGATTATCCAGGAGCTATTCAGCTCTGCTTAGAATGCCAGAAAGCCGCCAGCACCTTCAAACACTACAGTTGTATAAGGTAAGGTGACATTCAGCTTCTCAGTGACTTTATTTGTAAATGATACAGAGTCATAGAATCAACCAGGTTGGAAAAGACCTCCGAGATCAAAGTTCAACCCTTGTTCCAACACCACCGTGGTTAATAGAACATGGCACTAAGTGCCACATCCAGTCTCAGTGTATGAAACAGTGACCATTAATTCTCCTTCTCTAAAGAAGGTTTGATGGAAATGTTATTTTCTCCTTAGAAAAGTAAAATTGAGGCAATTATAAAAACATAAGTATCCACTGTAGTTTCCCCCTTTCTGGTACCACTACTAACCAGTCTTCACAATCATAACACCATATAATCTGTGTTTGGACTATATCATTGCTTTTTAACTCTTGTAATACATTGGCAGGTAAAGTTTCAACTAAGACTGAATTCAAACTGTGCTGCAACATGCAGCCTAGGGATACCTGAGCTGATTTTTTAATAAGCAAATTTATATTCTGGAATTAATTTACCTACAGCAAGATGGCCTCTGGAGAATAGCTTACCCTGATTCTTGGCAATGAAATTAGCAAGTGCAGAATTTCATGCTGACATGAAGAAATTGCTTTCAGAACTGGAACTAATCCAAATATCTGCAGTTCCTAACTTAGAAAGACTTGATGTTTCCATAGCTTTTAAAAAAGAAAAAAATAAGCAGGAAATGCTCATAAACTCCAGCAGGAGTTATAGTAACATCAAATTATTACAGAGGCTTTTCTGGTTGAAGGCTTGTTGCATGTGGAGAAACAATAAGGAAGTATTTTCTACTCTAGTTTTTAATGCCAGCTCTTCTTGATGCAGTTTTTTTATTTAAACCTTTCTTTGGAGGGTATTGTATCCAGTTTACCTAATGGAACCAAAACAGGAGGGTGATGGGCATAATCTTGAAGCTAAAGAACTGAATAGGGAAACTAGAATCTTTTGATAATTAACATAACCCCCTTAAGAGAAGATTCAGAGCACAGAAGGAAGTTGTTTAAAATCAGATATGGTTATTATTTAATGAAAACTGTGCTTTCCATGCATGAAGAGAATATCCTGCCTATTTCTTGTTGCTTTGACCTTTCCAAACAAGAACAATAACATATTTTGTGTGTTATTTTTCTGGCTGGTGTTCTAAGATTTTTAAACCTGATTGTTATAAAGGTGCAGTGGTGCCTTTCTTTGTCCTTGCTTTGTCCTTTCTTTGTCTCTTATGGTAGCTATTTTTGTTAATCTTTTTATACCAAGAGAAGTGAAATAATGGTGTTTAAATTTTTTTCTGAGAATTGTGTAAGCTTGAGTTCTTTTATAGCATTTCTGTAACAGGTTCCTGAGCAACAAAGAAAAGATACTATAGTTTACAAAGACCCGACAGCCTTGACCTTTCTGGTCAAGAAATGTTCTGCTCTAGACCACAGTGCCGAACCAAAACATTTAAAGCATGAGTTTCTTGGAGGTTGGGAATGACTTTGAATACTTGGTTAAATCCTAGCAGGATGGGGCCTTGTCTGGGCACTCTTGAGAGTGTTGTATTGTAAACCTACAGTTATGTGCTGCTGCAACAAATACTTTAATTTGAAGCGTTAGTAATACTGCATATGCCTGAAGTAGGTACCTTTCAGTAATAACAGTGCTGAGATGGCACCAGTCTGACGCAGTAAGACTGCGTAACAGCAGCTTAAATGATTTATGATCAATTACTATATTGTGGCTCGGTAGCAGGCAAATGTGTTTTTGGAAAAAGGAACTTGGTCTGAAATATTAATAGAATTGGTAATTTTATTTTAAACATTTTTTTCTTTCATTAATAGTGAGTTAAATTCAAAACTGCAAGATACCTTGGAACAAATAGAGGTAAGAGTTGGTATATTGATGTTTAGTATATTTTAATATTTAACCTCTGAGTATATGTTAGTAATTAACCTCTGAAGTACCAGAGCTTTTTAACACAGTGTTGTTAGCAATTACAGAATGTGCACATTTCTTTCAAATACTCTCTTTGGAATGCTGTAGTCAGTGGTGTTCATGTAAACTCTTGTGATGCAGTTAATCTAAATGCTCTGTAATATGTTGTCAGACTTATAAGCCCAGTTCATGAGTTGTGCTTGCTGTAAGTGGTAGAGCAGTCAAATTAAAAAAGTCATATAACATTTGAAGTACTGAACTTCTTTGAGTTCCTTAGACTACTTGTAAATAATTGTGAGAAGTAAATCAGCAGCAAGTGAATAGGTTTGGATAAGCTACACAAGAGATCACAATTTCACTGGAAATTTTAGAGGTCAACAAACTGCTGGGTAGGGCCAGTGCTAAGCCAGAGGAAGAATAACTGTAAGGGATGCAAGAAAGATCAGTTTTAAGTTGGTAGATAGTATCACAAAAGCATATGAATATGAAATGGTAAGTGTCTTGCTGGAAATTGGTGAAGAAAAAAGTAATTTTGAACCAGAACTTGGTGAGCTTTTTATAAGAAGTCTATTAATGTAGATATGTGTAATGTGTATGGAGTGCATGTAATGCATATGCATGTAATGCTTAGCAGGAACCTGAATCAGCTATTCCAGCAGCTCTCTACACCTGTGGTCATGGGCTCTTTAGAAAGTCAGATTATTATCATATCTTGTTATTAAATTCCTTGTAAAATTAGACCTTTGTTAAATTTCCTTCAGTTATACCTTTGTACTTCAGCTTTTTTGCAAAGCTTTTTTTTTTGTTGTTATTTATTCCCTTAGTCTTTCACTGGTGTATGTTTTATTCAGAGCATATCTGGTTCAAAAGAGCTGATAAATGACTGTTTTCTTCCCACTCTCACACAGGCTTTGTGAGAGTGAGCACACTCACATTTTTTCCTTGTGAGCAGATATTGATGTTGCGTCTTACTTCTTCCAGAAACAGCTTTGAAGAGCAAATTCTAATCTTACCAAAATCTGGTAAAATGTGCCATGTTGGTTGGTTGGTGAAAGCAATTCATAGCTAGCTAAATAATCACGTTGAAGATTTTTATTTATTACTTGTGAATTTATTAAAAGATCTTATTTTCTTCCTGTGAAAGTATCTTATTTTCTGATGAAATTATGTCCATGCATATGAGAGAAATGTAAGTCATCCTGGGGTTCATAGAGTATTTCTGTCTGATTAACATAAAATAATATAGAATAATATTCTACCACTTAAGGTTTCAGTAATGAGTCTGTCCAATAATTGAGTGCCTCTAATTATGTCCATTCTTTTTTCTTTTTTTTTTTTTTTCCCCTTGTAATTTAGGTTTTAACATTGATCTTACTTTTATATTATGTTACAAATAAAATGGAAGATGGCTATAGTGGAAGGAACTGTTGCAAAATGGTTAATGTACTCTGTGTTTAAGAGTTCTGTTCATGAACAGTTTGATATCCCTGTTTCTCTTTGTACAGCTGTTCTGCAAGAAATAAGAGAAGGAAATTAAAAAAAAAAAATCAGTATATGCCTGAAATTGCTGAGTAACCTTTTAGAGAAGTTCTGAATCTTTAGGTTACTTGTCCTTTTACCATTTGGCTTAGGAAAGAAAATGCAACAAAAAACCCCCACCAAATCCCTAGGACTAAAACCATAAATATTTTGTGGCTCATGATCTAATTCATGAAAGTTTTCTAATGGAGTAAGTAGAAGTACATAGGGAGAAAACACTCATCTGCTGTGGTTTCTATTTGTAAGAGCAAGACTGCATAGCAAGATCGTTAAATAATGAGAATTGAAATAGCTTTAGGAGAGAGAATATCTGCTAGCTGGGGATGTTATCAAATGCTATTGAGTCATCCTATGGTTTTTTTTTCTTGCATTGTAGATTGAACTATCTAGAGGTAGACTGTGTGTCTGAATATATTACAACATCTAAGTGAGAATTATCTTATTAAGCTTCATAGTCAAATTCTTGAAAGCTTTATTAGTCATTAAGTGTATGATCCTGTTTAAGGTGGGTTTTTTTTTTCATTTGCTTTACATAACAGATGAACTTCATTTATTGCAAAGCTGCTCAGTATGCTCAGACACAGCTCTGATGGCAGAACTAGTATTTATGTGTTTGCTTTAATTTTTTGTCATAAAGTAATGTATTGCTTGGCCTGTTTTTATTTAGTGTTTAACACAATCTTTTATTTTATAGGAACAATTGGACGTAGCGCTTTCCAAAATATGCAAGAATTTTGATATCAATCATTATACAAAGGTTCAGCAGGCTTACAGGCTGCTTGGAAAAACACAGGTTTGTACTCATCTTGTAACAGCATGGAACTTTGAGTCCTGGGATGGAAATTTATTTTCCTAATTATTGTGGTTTAATCCCAGCTGGCAGCTAAGCCCCACACAGCCACTCAGTCTCTCCCCTTTGGTGGGATGGGGGATGGAATTGGAAGGATAACAATGAGAAAATTTATGGGCTGAGATAAAGACCATTTAATAGGGAAAGCAAAAACTGTGCACACAATTGAAGCAAAATGAGGAATTCATTTAACACTTCCTATGGGCTGGCAGGTGTTCAGCCATCTCCAGGAAAGCAGGGCTCCATCATGTAACAGTGGCTTGTGAAGGCAAACTTCATCACTCTGAACATTCCCCCCTTCCTTCTTCCCCCAGCTTTTATTGCTGAGCATGATGTCACATGTTATGGACCCCAACTTTGGTCAAGTGGGGTCAGCTGTACCAGCTATGTCCCCTCCCAACAACTAGTGTACTTCTAGCCTACTCTGATGGGGTGGGATGAAGAGCAGGAAAGGCCTTGAGTCAGTGTAAGCAACTGCTCAGCAATAGCTAAAACATCCCTGAATTATCAACACTGTTTCCAGCACAAATCCAAAACATAGCCCTGTACCAGCTACTATGGAGAAAATGAACTCTATCCCAGCCAAAATCAGCACACTAATGCTGATGAATCTTGCCAAGTATTCAAAGGCTTTTATAATGCTCAGATAATTTAACAGTACTTGCCAAAGGTAAACTGTGTATTATTCCAACATGTAGCGTATGTAACAGTTCCATATTTCAGCTCTGTTTATAATGCTGTTTGCATTATTAATTGATTTTAGTCCTATGAATATTTTTTGGTAACTAGGTCTATGTTACTGAGTTGTGCACAACCTGTACCTTATATCTGTGTTCCATTTTATATTGTACTGTAACATGACAGGAATGGAGATCTGAGGAGATAGTTTTTTGCAAAAAGCTACGTCTCAAGGCATAAAAAAAATCATGGAAGGTTAAGAGTTGTAAAGGACCTTAAAGATCATACTCCCTGTGCAGTGGACAGGGACACCTCCCACTAGACCAGGTTGCTCAGGGTCTTATCCAACCTGGCCCTGAACACTGACATATGTTTAAACATACACTGTGGATATGTCCTGAAAGTTACATCTCTCAATGCCTAGAGCATTTTTTTGTGTAAATAGTAGATCTAAGCTCTCCCATAGGATGTAGTTCTCTTCTGCTGGTGCACTTCCTTCAGGCTTCATACGGTTTCTCTGGGAAGATGGTGAATCAGTTTCTTTCTGAAGCAGCTATGAAGTATGGAAGCTAATACCAAGGTCCTGTGAAGTAGAGAGGGATAAAGAAACAAGAAACTCCTGGAGGCATATTTTGTCAGTGATCAGTGTTCATAACACACTGAGGCTGAGCATGGTGGTGCCAGGGTAGCAGTGGTGATTTGCTTGGAGAGGAGATTCCTTCAGAAAGCTTTAGTTGCTACAGATCATGGCAAAGTGCCTGTCCCTTGATGAAGACAGGACAATAACCCCATTTGCTCTTTATAATGTTGGGTTTTTTAATGGTATTTCCAGATTTCAGAATTATATCTGTTAGTAGATTGGCTTTTTTGGGTTTGGTTTGATTTTTTGTTTTCTTGTTTCTTTCTTTCTAATTAGAATCTTTCTAGCAAAGTTGGGTTCTTTTTTCTATGACTTGACACTGGTAACAGTGTAACTCTGCAATAGGATAGAAATGGATTTATCTTCCCATACTTTGTTAATGTGCAGAACTATTGGAGTGCCTAGAGACTGCAACTTAAAATCTGGGGATAAAATTAATTAGACTTTTCCTTTGTCAGTGCATCGTACGCAATTTCTTTATTTACTGAACAAAAGTAGATATAATGCATTCGCTAGTCCCAAGTCAAGTGCAATATGTTGAAAAAGGCAGGTTCTTTGTCAGAGGAATGAAGTTTCTGAACAAAATAAAAGTTTTATTTGTTACTGCATGGTTTCGCCTGCTTTGTTCTCATGATAGAGTGACTTGGCTTTGACATTCTTTTTATTACTACTAAAGTAGGTATTTTGAACTTGTCCTAAATATAATTTATTGCATTGTTACTGAAATATCTCCTCTTTTGATCCCTTCTCAGTAAACAAAATGTCACAAACCTTCAGTGTCTTCAGTACTTCTCATTATTTCATTTGTCATTCTTTTTTCTTTGACCGATTCAGGTTAGCACTAGCTGTAGAAGATTGGTTGTTTGCAATAGCATTTAATCAGAATTGCCTTTTCATTTCTTTTGGGGTGATTGAGTTCTCAGCTCTTGTCAGTAGCTAAAAATGTCAAAAAGGAAGTAGTGAAAGTGAACATTTTCAAATCTGCAGGATCTGATAACTTCATTCTGGCATTTGAAAGATATTTTTTATTGGTTCCCCTATGTACCATATGCTAATTATTTGCATATAGTGAAACAGTGAGAAAATTCTGTTTCTGAAATGGACTAATGTTATGTACAGTCTATTAATAACATGAAAATTCAAGAAACATCCTGACCTGAAACTCAGACATGAATATAGCAAATTTAACATGCTGTGCAGTCATTAGTGCCTAGGATTTGTACTGTTACATATTTTTCTGAAAAAAATAATGTATTTTTAAACAAATGTCTTCTTTTTTTTTTTTTTCCTGTTACAAAGGGGAGTTTTATAGGAAATTTATTGATATGATGTACATGCCTTTCTGTAACAATTCTACTTTATGTTCTTCAGTTTGTCAAGTGGATGGATTGAAGACTTTGAAATTGTAGTTTTAGTTTTAATAATTGCAAAGGAAATATTTTTATTTTAGTTGGAAGTGTTTCCAGTAGGAGAAAGAGCACAAATCTCAACTAATTTCTTTTTGACACAAAATCAATGATTGGGAGAGTAAAAGAATGAATGAGTCAATTCTATAATTAGCTATATTATATAGGTGTACAGTTAATATTTACTCATGTTAATGTAAAAAAAAAAAGTGGATTATAGAGGGAGGATGGCAGAGGAAACTGATTTTACTTTTAGTATCTGCACTCTTTTACATTACCATATTGTAATATTACCAAATTCTATATTAAATATTTTTGAGACAAAGATCGAAAGCCATGCTTACAGTCTCTTTTGTTCAGAACTGAAAAAACTTCCCTTAAAAGGTGATGGCTTAAAGATTATGGCATATGACAAACTGAATTTTGTATTTGATTTTATGTTACTCCATTTCTTTCAGACAGCAATGGACCAGTTACATATGCACTTCACTCAAGCCATTCACAACACCGTGTTTCAAGTAGTCCTTGGATATGTGGAGCTGTGTGCAGGAAACACAGACACCAAATTTCAGAAGTTACAGTACAAAGACCTCTGTACAGTATGTAATTCTTGTATATGTGTGTATTTGTTAATCTGAATTTTTCCACTATTGCAAGTGTACCTTATATCAGTAGGCACTCACTTATTAAAATAATTCTGCAGCTGCTATAGTTTATTAATACAAGTTATAGGCTGAGAGATTTGTTATTCACAGCTTAATGATGATTTTGGTTGCACTAAACCTTAACACTTTGGACTTATCAGAAGACCAACATTTCAAAACTTCCATGTCTTCAGTTATATGCTAGTTATTAGAATCATTATTAACTTTGAACTTTATTCTACTGCATTTAGGTAATATTCACAATTTCTATAACACTGCATTTCACTAAGGATTCTTGGTATCGGTTTCACTGCATTTTTGATATATTGTTATATATGCAATGTTGATATATTGTATATATGCATTTTTGATATATCTGTTATATTGAGATGCAAAAACCTCATAATAGGGAAAACGTGGACTGGGAGTAACTATATATTTCCCTCTAGTATAAATTTTAGATGCAGTTTCTTCCACATCTCTATTTTGTTTATTTTTTTTTTAATGTTATTAGAATTACTATATTTTGAGTAGCACTTTTAGTTCACTCTTTAGTTTTTCACATGTGATTTTACTGTTATACCCTGAGAATTTACTTAAACTTCAGTGTTGGGGAGGAAGAATGTGAAATATTTTAGGTGGTTCTAGCATTGATTTAAAATTTGAAATTATGTTTCTATCTTGAATGTTCTTTAGGGTGTTTGTTTCAGTCACAGGCTAAATCCTCCTCATACTTCATCAGCTCATGGACCCATCCTGTCAGTTGCAATTTATTAAATTAAAGTACAGTCATAAGAAGATTAAAGTTCATATTCTGATCCATTTTCTGCTCTTTCACTTCTCATATCTCCTGACTCATGTAGCTTCAACTAGTAAACAACACATCTATATTGAAAGCCATTTAATTTTAAAGAGGTGCCCATTTGATTAAGAAAGCTTACATGATCTAAGGGCCTGCACATAAATGGAAGTGTGATATGAAAAATTAATTTATTGGGAATAACTGACATAAGTATTAATGAACAGAATGAGAAAGTTTCCAGATGGGTGGAATTTGCACTTCACTGAGATGAATTCTAGCTGAAGAAAACCAGCAAACCAGCGAAATCTCTTGTTCTCTGGACTGCAACCTTTTCATCTTTTTACTATAAGTCTTCAGAGTGTGGTTTTATTTTCATTTCTTACTTTCTAATGCATTTTTCCTTTTTTTTTTTTCTTTATACTTCTATATGCCCTTTATTTTGTATCTCAGTCTTTGCTAATGCTAGTGATACTTAGCCCATTTATATACACTTACAAACAGTACTACTGAGCTGCTTCTGACAGCTAAATACAGGTTGTGTGCTGCTGTTGATCCTTGTTCTTTACAGTGCAGAGGAGTCTTTCAGATACTTGGAAATATCACCTTTTGTAATGCATAGGAAGAGAGTGGCTTTGTCTGCATGGTTACAAAATTATTACCTCATTATTTCTATTTGGTTTTACTTATGCAAAAACCTTAATGAGATGATGCTTAAGTTATGTGAGCCTGCAATAGCTGGAATCTGGCAGTCTGTATAAAGGAAGGTACTGAGACTTTGGGACTATAATGTATGATGAATACTGCTATAATTTGCTTGAAATTTAGTTTTTTATTTTTTCATTACTCTCTTGGTAACAATTAGGTATTTGGGGACAGGCTGCAGATGGGCAATTTTGATCTCTTACAAGCAGTGCTGCTCAGTGTTGGTTGTTACCTGTTGCAGTACATTTGTGAAATCAGAGTGATGAGTAAGCTGGACTGTCATACCAATTAAATTTCTAATTCCTGCAGCAAAAACACCAGCAAATTTTTATCTCTTGCATTCTGTTTTGGGGGAATAAATTGTTTAAGACTAAAATATGAGCTTTTTTAATCTTTATTTAGTTCTAGTGAGAACCCTCTTCAGGCTGTCTATGCTGTTTAGCCAGGATGCTCTTAACATATAAGTGGTTATGGAGTACTTCCTCTAATTAAACAATGGAAGTCATATAAAATTGAAGTATTCCTTTTTGGACAGATCTCCTGCTGTGTGTTTCTAAAAATCTATCAAAATGAATTCATTTAGCTCATTTCCATTTTTTATGGGTGGGGGGGTTATAGTGGCTTTTTTTCTTTGTTTTGTTTGTTTCTTCAGATACTGTATATTCTAATAATGTGAGCTTTTAAAAAGAATAATGTTTTCAGAAATTTTTAAGCATTTATGCAAGTTATGTACTTGTACACTCAGACTCACTGTTTCCTTGTTGAGTGTATCTTTTCTTAGCAATATGCTGTGCTCTAGCTTTTACATCCTTTCACTTTTTGAATACTACTTGGGCAGAGCAGAGTTTGGCTGCTTCATTTTCAGGTTTCAAATTTCTATATTCAGAGAGTAAAGTCCAAAGAAATTCAGTTGTTCTTTTCCTTAGACTAAATGGAATTATCTTGGTATTTAGTGATAGTTAGTGATCCTTTCTTCCTGGCCACCTGAAAGCCAGTAAATCTTCAAGTATAGTGATCTGCATAAGCAGGGTTTAGATTTTATAGCTACTAAATGCCCTGAAATACAGTAAGACTAACATTTCCTGATGAGCTGGCAGAGAAAATGGCTGAATCAACAGGTGAATTGGCAGGACAATTTATTGTTTGAATGATAAACTTGTTACCCTATTTTGTTCAATTGTTAGCTAAGGCCTATAGTATCTGAGATTAAAATGTCTCAATTATGCAGTCACTAATGTATATCAACTCTTCAATTAAAAGGGTGTTTTAGAAAAAAAAATTACTTTTCTCAATTGTTAGAATTTTTATGTACCAAGAGCATGATTTTTTTTTTCTTTTTTGTCAATATGTCCAGAATGCCTAATGTATATACTCGAGGGAGCTCTGGTTTGGTAGGGCACAGAACCAGGATAATCAATTTAAAAAAACCCAGACAAGCATAATGAAAGGACATGATTATTAACATGAAACCTCCAGATGCTTTTGCTAGTGACATCTGTTAATGCTGAAGAACAGTTTCTGTGAGTCCTTAATCATAAGTGGAATGTAGAAGAATATGGCTTGAGTGGTATGTCCTGCTGCCAGGAACATTATTTAAACTTGGGAAACAAGAGAACATGATGAAATAGAAAATAAAGATGTGCAGTTTATAACTTTTTTTTTCACTTGAAAGCTGAAACATAGGAGTGTAGGAAATCTGTTCAATATAATGTTTATTCTCCAACAACTGTACTGAAGATGATCAGTGGTGTTACGATTCTTGAGAAGGACACACAGTGTTTTGAAAGCCTCAGTGAGATCAGTGTATGAGGATGCAGTTGAGGGAATTGATTGCTTTAATTAAGGGTTTGCTCTCTGTGGAATCCGTGGTTGATTCTGTTGCAGAAGCTGTTCATATTTTTGAAGAGTTGTCTTGTAACTAATGCCAAAACTTTTGTATCATCATGGATATGCGTATTTAGGTTATCAGGCACACAGTACCCAGTTGGTAAAAGCTAATTAGCCCTGCAGAAGCCAACTGTGGACACTGACATAGCTATCGGAAAACATGGTGTTTTCTAGAGCAGTGTTAGCTGGAAGTGCTAATTTCCAGACTTCTATGAGAAACATTACATAACAGTGTAATTAAACTCATATCTGTGCAGCTGGACTTTGCCCTAGTCTATAAGTGGTGACACCGTGCTTCACAGTGACTGAGACAAGGGTGGTGTGGCATTGCTACTCTGATGCACTCTGAATATATTTTACAGTTTTTTCTTTATCCAGCAAGACCCCTTTTCAAAGTCATCCCTTTCCCTGACAATCTCATCTTAGTTATTTCTTCTGTGTATCTTGGTCTCTGATAAAATTGATACTCTTCACCTAAAGAGTATCTGAAATCATAGCTGGCTCTTTGGAGCAGGGTGACTTGGGGAAGTAGGGCAGCTGCCATCTAAGTAAGTTTGTTTGTTTTTAAGCTACTTCTTTATGCGTCATTCAACCCAAGGGGGTACTGGCCAGGATGGCTTCTGGGTACCACTGAAGTACAAGAATCTGTATCATTGAAATGATGTGGTGTCTTCATGTCATGGGTGGCTGCATCCCTCTTTGATATTGCAATGTGCTGATCCTTAGACTTTATGGCTTTACATCTGTATCTGCCTTATTGTTCCATAAATATGAGGTGTTTAATGTGGGCCAACTGTGAGAAAAGTGCTAACAAATAAACTTTGCACTTTTGGACAGCATTTGATTAATTGACTAAAATCAGGAATTCATCACCTCTCAAATACATTTGAAAATGAAACTGATAAATATCAAACACCTCAGCTGTATGAATATGGAAGGGTTTGTGTGGTTTGTGTTGCCACTGTGAAAAAGGAACACAATTTTGAGGTTTCACAATGTTACTTTGTTTTTCTGTAGCACATTACATCAGACAGCTACATTCCATGCCTGGCTGATCTCTGCAAAGCCCTCTGGGAAGTCATGCTCAGTTACTACCGAACAATGCAGTGGCATGAGAACCATGACCAAGATGAGGCAGCAGTTGTGTCTTCTGGTAAGAAACTGCTGGAAACAAAACTTCTGATATTTGGATATAACTTTTCTTGTGCTGTATCCTTGTGGTCTTGACTCGGTGCCTTCAGCATTATTGCTTATAGAGCGCAGGAAGAACTGAAATACTCATTGGAGTTTTGTACTCTTCAGTATAAGGTTAATTTTTTAATGAATATTTGTATGTGCCAATCTTGTAGATATAAATGCTTTTATTTTAAACAATTCTTAGGGGACATGTCCTACCCGTGTTGTGTGGAATCTTAAAAAAAACACAAAACAATTAAAAACTTATTGAAAATATTATTTCTATTGAAGCCTGGTGGTGCAGTGGTTAAGCCGCAGCGCTGTCAATGCCGAGACCCGGGTTCGATTCCCGGTCGGGGCCACTCCCCCGGGCAGGATGGAGCTCGTTAGCCCTGTAAGGCAATCCATCTACGTCCTGAGGACCTCGCTGCCACCGTCCAAGCTCGCTTGGCCCCAGCAGATGAACCTCAGGATTAAAGGGTGGGCTCAGTTCCGCGCACACTGTGTCTCACCTAAAAAATCCAATGCGCAGGCTGGAAGGTGGAAAGACCTTCCCCGGTTCTT